AATGCAGAACAAGAAGGGATATTACCTGGCAACCGTAGCTGAGAAGTTGGATTTAGCATTAGACCGTCACCGGGAACAGAGGCAATCATACCAAATGCCCAGAATCGGGACGCCAAGCTCGAAAACAGCGGGGTCGACGTCTTGGAACAAATCAGTACAAGTTTGACGTCGTGCACGGGAAGATGATCTTACGTGGTGCGCCCTGATCGTAGACAGACGAGGGGCCTAATCATTGCCAGTAAGCTAAGAATTCCATACCAGGACGGCATCACAGCATGTGGAAGCCCAAGAAAGCCGCGCTAACAGAATGCATACCTCCAGACAGCACAATACCCTTCGGCTTGAAGGGGAGGTCCGCCAGCTTCGTGGTGCATGGCAGCATCTCAGCGTACACCTTGAGTGCACGCAGGCGTCTCAGAATGAGATGGCTCGTCTGGGAACCGAAGTCCAGAACGAGGATGGTCTGTTACAAACAATGTCAGCAAAACATACGTCCAGCTTTTACAAATTGCTCTTTTGCATGTATCACTCGTCGAATGCAACTGCGCCAGATGCCGCCGGTCCACCTGATGTCGCCGCCAGTTTGCCCCTAGCTGCCCGAATCTGGATCGTAATTTGAGTCGCAGACGCTTTTGTATGATCTCTAATAGCCGACATACGCAGTCGCAACGAGCCGACAGCCTGAGCAACTGGAAGAAACCGCGCTTGGATACGACAAGTTTTTGGCTGCGGCGCAACCAGATCGAGATCCATTTCCTGGTGTTCTTTGTGACTTTTTTGATATTCAATCCCTTTATAGGTTTCTTATTCGGGTTACGAGAGCAGATTCGTGGAAATGTTGTGGGCAGCTTCGGGGCATTGGCTGGCTGTGATATCGTGACATCGGTGTGTGGCAGCGATCCACCGCGGCCAGAGGTCGTGAACCTAAGGGGGGGCCACTCGGAACAGTCATTTCGCAAGGGGCGCTACGTACGTCGAAGTTGTTGTGAGGGGCCTCGGCCTCCATTTCGGTAATGCTGGCCATGTTGACTGCTTTATCGAGTGCGAATACGTGGGCGTGGTCGGATCTCTCGAGTTTGCGCAAGGAGGAGAGACGGCCAGGAGAAAAGAAGAAAAGAAAAAAAAAGTTTGGTAAGAGTCAATCGCAACGCTGGTGCACAACCACATTGTGACTGACACGCATGGCGGGGGCGGGGCACTCAAATTTACTTATCTTATCTCCGTCAGGGGTCCACCCCCGAATTTTTGGGATTTCAGCCACAATGCAACAGCTGCTGCTGCACCACCTGGCCGCCACACCCATTTCCAATTGCTTCACTTTGGGAGACCGATGTTAACTACAATATTAGAAGAGCTCCGAGATTTGGTTTCTTTGGGATGAAATATAGAGGTAGATCAATTCCTCCAAAATAGAAGCTGGAAGAAAAGGAGATAGGCTCGCTGCCGAAGTTGCTCCTGGAAGACCTGGCCTGACATAGCCAGAGATGATGTCATTCATCGCTCGAGTGACCTTGCCAATCCCGCGGCGTTCGAGAATTCCTTCAAGACGCATTGCATTATTTTAGTTTGGAGACCTACTGCATTCAGGTAACCGCCAAACGCAAGAACTCGACATCATGTATGAGATCTACGCCGTAAGTCACCCGGGATACGTCCTCATGGGACTTCCTACCGAAACCAATCGAATGGACCATCTTGCCATGGATGAATCTATGCGTCATCTAACTGACGAACGTAGGCTGGCGCTGCGGCAGCATTCACAGTAGATTGCTTGATCTATCCTCTCGACACCCTCAAGACCCGATACCAAAGCCGTGATTTCGTCAAGACCTATGCCTCATCGCCAAGCAACAAAGCGCCGCTCTTCCGCGGCCTCTACCAGGGCATCGGGAGTGTGGTCTTGGCTACGTTACCAGCAGGTGAGTACTTCTTGTCACGATCGAGTCTTTCGCACAAGCCCCCACCAATTAACAGAGTACCTGAACACAACACTGACGCACTGAAGCTGGTATCTTTTTCGCCACGTACGAGAGTATGAAGAAGACAATCTCCAAAACCGGCTCAGTCCCGCAGCCGTTGGTGCACTCCTTGGCCTCAGCCGTCGCGGAGATGGGCTCATGTCTGGTCCTTGCGCCCGCAGAAGTAATCAAGCAAAACGCGCAAATGCTCCGTCAGCGGCAGGGCAGCGGCAGCGGGTCGGGCGGCAGACGGTCGACATCCCTCAAGGCTCTGCGCCAGGTCACCAGCTCCGGGGCCCAGGGGCGGCTCTTCTCCGGATACACGGCGCTCGTCGCGCGCAACCTGCCCTTCACGGCGATCCAGTTCCCCATATTCGAACACATGCGGAAGATGGTGTGGGACTCGAGGATGCGGGGGAGGGCGGCGGGCGAGGAACATGGACTTGTCGAGACGGCCGTGGTGACGGGAACCACAGCCGGGACCGCGGGCGCGTTTGCCGCGTTCATCACGACGCCGAGCGATGTCGTCAAGACGCGGATGATGCTGAGTGCAGGCAAGGCCAACTCGGACAGCGGCAGAGGGAGCGCTCCACCGCAGGAGTCGAGTAATGCAGCGAAACCGAAAAGGAGCCGCGGGAGCCTGGAGGTGACGCGGGATGTCTACCGGCAGAACGGCATCCGCGGGCTCTTCCGTGGTGGAGGGCTGCGCGCCGTGTGGACGGCCGTTGGCAGCGGCCTGTACCTGGGAACGTACGAAATGTCAAAAGTCTGGCTCACACGAGGGAAGGACGAATCGGATGTCGTCGAGGGGCTGTGATGGGCGGAAGGGGCTGCATGACGCGCGCAGGGTGCATCGCAGGTGTTAAGAAGCGGTGACGGCGCGGTAATACCGGCTTGTACTGTATACGTGCAGGTGTATTTACATAGGTAGTATAGAAAATCGATGTCGTGACCGGGGGCAAATGAGACGGAGGGGCGGTTCTAATATGGCGTGGTGTAGGTACTTGAAAGAAATTGGAAGCGAGGAGGGGAGCGCCTCCGAAACATGGTCTGGCTTCATGCTGCGGCAGAAGAGGGAGGGTTGGCGTGGATCTACTGCCGGTGCGTCGAGACCGAGACCGTCGAGGTCGCCCTGTGGAGTCAGATCTGTGGCACGGCTAGGGCCTGGGGGATCCCGGGGTAGGCCCGTCTCCCGAGCAAATGGCTCTTGGCTCAACGGATGCCCTCCGGCCGGGTGTAAATGGCACGTCTGGCTAGGAGGAAGATATGCAACGACGGATGCGAAAATACACACCCAAGTATTGCCAACTGGCACAAAGCCCCGGCCTTGACCTTGTCCGTCGAACCCTTCGCCATTGCACTACCATCACCTCATCCTTTGGCTCCCTTAGCCATGAGACTAGACGTTTTGGTCGGCCATGGCTCGGTGTAGCGTCGCTGAAGAATGCGGGGGACTCGGTGCCCGAATTGTCCTTTCACTAATAATACCACATTATAATAGCACCTACTCGCCATCCTTTGTCGCTGGTCTAGACAGAGTCTCAACTTCTGCCTCTGTCTCTGCCTCTGCCTCCTGCTTCAATGCAATGTCGAACCCTCCAAGTGTTCTTCGCTGTGCGTTGCTTGGACAGTTGGCAAAGGCAACCCACCTGGCCTGTAGTTCCGCGTAACGTATTCCCCCAAATAGCCGTGCCCAAAAAGTCAAAATCCATGGCGGCGTGTGCATTGGCATCAGTTCGAAATTACGTCTCTGGCATCAGAACCGCACCCGATTGCGCCATCCCCAACCGCACAGTGGCTGTCCCATGCTTTTCCCTGCTATGCAACATGCAAACGCCCGGGAAATTTTTTTGAGATGATCCATAGGCAGCCCGCCCGGGTCGCACCTTTACTATGCAAAAAGGGGTCCCTGAACATGGTTGAGGGACGAACACCGCTCCTTTGACCGGCACACGGTGTCGGTCAGCTGCTCTTGACTCGTTCCGAGTCGCTCGACGGTGTAGTCTCCCGACCCACCTGGCTTGGGTTAGGCAATCCCGTGTCGAAAAGACGTTTCCTTGACGCCGCCCCCTGCCGTCATGTCCCTACCTACTCTAGGCTTTCTTATATTTCAATGCCACGCTCGCTTTTCTCAGTCGTTTCGTTATTTCCATCCCTCAACCTGATCTCAGACTCTGCCAGACACACACCTCTTCGTCTTCGTCCATAACCGTCTTTCCATTCAAGGTATTCTCGCCTCCTATATAAGTCAACGCCTGCTTCACCGAACAAGACCAATCGAGTTCTAGTCGTTGAGCCACTGCACCAGACTTCAGGCTACAAATCCCTGAGTCTTTTGTAGCTTGCATCTTCGGCCACCATTCGACTCCTCCTTGGAACATCCCAATCATAGGACTTGTGAACCTCCCACTCAACTTCTCGCTATGACGGCCGTTGTGAGCACGGCGCCGTTCGCGGTTGTCGACCCCCTCGCCCAGAAGGTCAAGGAGAGTGCAGCCGTCAATGTGAACGAAATCGACGTCAGCAACACCGACAGGTTCATGGTCCACTCGCCATACACGGATCCGGAGCACTTGCTAGACCTCGAAACTCTCGACGACGAGAACGCCCTCCTCGCCAGGGCATTGTCTCATATGAAGTGCCTTCGTGCGGACTACGCCACAGCCGACTACGTCGAGTCCTTCAATTGGGGGGAAGTCATGGGTGAACTCAAAAACCTTGTCCAATCCACAGGAAAAACGTTCAAGGAAACTTCCTTTTACATTGTCGCGTTTCGCTCAACGATTCCGCCGTCGACAGTTTACGAAGACCTCGGCGTTCTGGACAAGGCAGCGCATGCTGAGGCCAACCAATTTGGAGGGTTCCTAAAGTAAGAGACTAGGAGTTTGTGAACGAACAAAGAGAACAAAGGCTGACTGTCGATAGATACTGGTTTGGAAGTCCTGATTCAGAAGGGAGAAACCTCGCAACTTGCGTATGGAGGTCAAGGCCCGATGCCGTAAAGGCAGGCCATGGCCCAGCCCACCGTAGGGCAAGCCGTGCGACAGCGTCCATGTACTCGTTCTGGCGGATCGACCGACACCGATTGGTCGTCCGTGATGGCGCTGAGAGCTGGGAAATCGTCAACTGGGTTGACTAAGATCGTCCGGAAGCATTTGGCGGGTAAAACGAAAAAAAAGGTGACTATTAACGGCGTTTGATGATTTGTTTGGGATTATGTCGCAATCGGGCTGGGAAATGAGTAAAGAGAAACACCGAGAAGCAGAGGGTGTGGTAGACGGCATTGGGTAACTCATGGGCGCATCCGGGTAGCATTGTACGGCCACGAGAACATGACTTGATTTCGTATTAGATAGCGTAAACGTGGAGATATATGACCACTGCATCACGTTCGTTTTTCCTCTGAATCATGGAATGTCGACTATGTGCGCACTCGTTTCGATCGGATTGCCAGCATGCCGTAGTCAGGTCAGAAACGGAGGCTGACGAAGGTTTGTGCTCCCAAGACTCAGGAATGAGATGATGATGGGCCACAGCCGGTTTTGTCAGTACGTGCAACCCGCTGCAGGCACAGAACACCCCCCGAGTGATATCGCAAAATGACGCTCGGGAGTAGCAGAGTAGAATGAGCGAGGTTTCGAGAGGAAAAGCAGGAGGAGAAAAGCGTGAGCCGGTGAGATGAGACGACGTTGAATTTAAACTCGATGCGAGTGCTTTCGGCGTGGGGGCATGTGTGGGATGCCCTCCCAACCAGGACGTGGCGTGGCGTGTGGGATCTGTTACGGATTCACCGTGGGCGAAAGACGGCGGCGTAGCGGCGGCGGTCGTCGGCCGGCCTGAACGGAATAGCAAGGGGTGTGGATCTGAGCCAGGCGGAAGGGAGGTGTGAGCGCAACATCCGACCTCTGTTGGGCCAAGTTCTGCCGACGTCCACCGCCCGACAGCCCACAATCCCTCCCACAATTCGCAGTAGCGAAAAGTTCGATATTTCGCATCACGACGAGACGACGCCCCCTCGAAACCCGATTGCCAAGCACGCGACACCAACGATCCCGCAGCCGCAGACTCGACACCGCCAGGAATTTTTGAACCTGCACGAATCTCCCCGATCGTATCGCAAATATGGGTGACGTTATCAAGGAGGTGCCGCTCAAGGCGGTTCGCGTTGAGGCCCTTGTGAGTCCTGCCCGAATCCTGCCCCACCTCTCCTCACTTGTGGCTTCTGTGCCTGCGTGGTGATGGACGGACATACATACAAAGGAGACTATTGCTGACATGCCGTGCCTCTAGGTGGTGATGAAAATCGTCAAGCATGGCTCCCAGACGTTCCCCACGACCGCCACCGGCTCCATCGTCGGCATGGACTCGGACGGCCTCCTCGAGATCACCAACACCTTCCAGTTCCCCACGGTCGACGTCGCAAACACCGACAGCCACCAGAACAACAACGACGCCTCGACCCTCGCCGCCGCGGCTCCCCGCCAGAAGGCCAACATCGTCTACCAGAACGAGATGATCAAGCACCTGAAGGAGGTCAACGTCGACGCCAACAATGTTGGCTGGTACACGAGCGCCGCCATGGGCAACTTTGTCAACCTCAGCTTCATCGAGAACCAGTTCCACTACCAGAAGGATAACGAGCGGACAGTCGCCCTCGTCCACGACGTCAGCCGCAGCTCCCAGGGCTCCCTGAGCCTGCGCGCCTTCAAGCTCACCCCCACCTTCATGGCCGCCTACAAGGAGGGCAAGTTCACAACCGAGAGGTATGTCGAGGATGGTCACGGGGAATATCTATCTAGGTCGTCGCAGCGCTAACGTAACTATGTGCAGTCTGAAAGCCTCCAAGCTCACCTTCAAGGACATCCTCGCCGAGCTCCCCGTCGAGATTCACAACACCCACCTCTTGACCTCGTTCCTCCACCAGCTCCCCGGCCTCCCCCAGCAGGACAAGATCGAGCCGCCCAGCTCCCTGTCGGAGCTGCGCGAAGACCCCATCAAGCAGCAGCTGCACCCCTCGGTCGAGAACCTCGACCTCTCGATAGACCCCTTCCTCGAGAAGACGTGCGACCTCCTGCTCGAGAGCATCGAGTCGCACTACACGGACCTCAACAACTTCCAGTTCTACCAGCGCCAGCTCGGCCGCGAGCAGGCCAAGATCACGCAGTGGCAGACCAAGCGCAAGGCGGAGAACGCGGCGCGCGCGGCAGCCAAGCAGGCGCCGTTGCCCGAGGACGAGTGGCAGAGGCTGTTCAAGCTGCCCCAGGAGCCCAGCAGGCTCGAGGGTATGCTGAACGCGAAGCAGGTGGAGCAGTACAGCAAGCAGGTGGATGGATTCACGGCCAACATCAGCGCCAAGATGTTCGCCGTCAGGGAGAACCTGCTGCCCAAGCGTGCTTAGATGGACGCGTAAAGTCGGGCTCGGATCTAATGCTTGCGGTTCGTCGGTTGGGCAGTTGGACGGACATGACGAGGAAGAGCAGAAACGAGGGGAAGAGTGGAAGAAGACGAGGGGCAGAGACGAAAAAGAAGTGGAATTACCTTAGAGAACGGGTGTTCTGGGAATGATGAATGATCTGGGGAGCGGATCAAGCATTCGAAACGGCGTTACGGTAATTAGTCCCAGGCAGTGTGTACTGAGTCGATATTCGATGTCTTTTCTTGCATACCAGCGTGGCCGACCTCTTTCTGGGGGCTACTTTACTACGGTGGTCTGACGTCGACCAGACACGCCAGGATTCACGCCAAGATGCAGGTGTTGGGAGGGGGTGAAGGGCGAGGCTGTTGCGGTATGGAGAGGGCATCTCGAGCACGCAAGCCACGCGGCGAGGCTTGCCAGAATGGGGAGCGAGAATATGGGGCAGAGCGTCTGCCACGTACACATACTTTTTTCCATCACCACGACGCCTCCCAGACTATCCATAACTATATTGAACATGGAAACAAACCACATTGACCAGTAAAACTACGTTTCCGGATAACCCGGCTCGAGCAGCCTTATTCTTCCTGCGGTCCGCCATCGTTCCCGCGCCTCGCCTCAAATCATCCCATCTGTGTCTGCATGGCATCCTGAGCTTAGCTTTACCGGCATGAGTCGTCCGGGTCCTTTGGGGACTGAACGCTGCCAGAGCCAGTCGAGAGAAGGGGGGACGTAGGAAAGAGTACGACGCTCGGTGCGTGTTCCCCTCAAAGGCCAAATGGTGGGGCAGGATCGAGGGGTTTCATAGTGCTGCCGCCAAAAAGGGACTAGCGCCAGCAAACGGTAAAACAAGGGGAAACAAAAAAGCGATTGGCCTTTCAACCTCTAAAATCGAGTCTCGACAGCACGCCTGGCGGGCGGGCACACGCGGGCCAGCGCCTGGGCCACGCACCTGCAAAAAAAAGAGGGCAATGAGGGGCAGCTTCTTTCTGCTCCCCCTCCCCATCAGGGTAGGTACCTGCTCCCCTTCGGACCTACACGTATCTTGCCATCAGAACGGATAGCGCAGATGTATCTTTTTTTCTGCCGTCTCTCTCGCTACCCGACCTAACCTTACCTCTCACCTTACCTCCGAGCAGGTCGGCCCTGGCCTGAGGTACCTTGGGAAGGATGCGCTGTGAGCTGTATTCTCCGACCTATCGGTGGAAAAAAATGATTATGCGTTGGATTCACTACCTGGCCTTTTCCAAGAGCGTGAAATTGGCCGACCTCCGGTACCCGACCTGGACCTTGACTAAGCTACCGAGCTGCCTAACATCTCGAGGTACATACCTGCATGGAGGTGACCTTGGGACGAAGCTGGGACAGCTTGTTCTTGAGCTTGCTCCCTTGTGTCTAGCGCCTTCCCTCACCTACCATGTGGAATGCCGGTTCCCATTGTGGCTGGTTCCAACAATGGACGTTGAACTTTTGTGTGAAGGAGGGAATGCAAATCGCCAATTGAACGACGTTGGATGAGACAGTCACGAGCGAGAGCGTCTTGACGGTTGAATCAGAGCCTATACCCCCTCGCAAGGGAGTGAGACATCGGAGCGAGGGCCGGGGAATGGAAGCCGAGCTGGCCCCTCCCTCAACTTTCGCCTCCCTTCACCGCAACGGCCTATCGAAAATGGCCGCAGGCGAAGCATATAGGCTCGGCGGGAGGGTTGGAAGGGAGAGAGGATTATCAAAGTTAGATATGTGACGGGTGTACGAGAGCTTGATGCAAGAGGAGGTATGTGAGGGAACACGCGAGTGTATGTATCACTGATGGTCAGAGCTGCCAACAGCCGAAGGCCGTAGCTTCGTTAACCTTCCCCCTCGGAAGCAGACAGTACCAGATAGACGGACGAGAGATAGCAATGTACCTCTTGCTATCGTGTCAGCCTCCAAAGTCTCGCGAGGCAATGACCAGTAGAGTGAGCGTCTCCCTCGAGGATCCCCACCCCGCCTGCCACACTCGTCCACAGCGCCTGCACCTCGTTGAACTTTTTGCCCCGCCTCTGGGCTCAAAGTCCCCGTTCCCCCTCCCACCAACCGCCGCGCTTCGCCGACACTGGTGACTGGCGAGTTCCGGGACTGGACAGGATTTCGCATTGGGAAGGGGGAAAAGTGTGAGAAAAAGGTAGGAGCAGCAGAAATTTCTCTCCAGTGTCTGGACAACAGAGCGCGTACACCCAGTCCCGTCCGTCTCGCACACCGCCCTGCCCGTTCCTGCCATCCTTCCCAGCAGCGTGCCTGAACCCCTCCATACCTTCCTCACTTGAGGTCCCTGTTTTTTTTCACTTCTTCTACCTCCCCTCCCCTCCCCCTTCCGTCGACCTTTAAATCCTTCCTCTCCTTCTTCATCCTCTCTCTCTCTCCCTCTCTCTCTTTCCATCTCTCATCTTTCCCCCCTCCATACCCCTCCCCCACCAAACAAACCACCACCACCAAACAACACTTCACAATGGCTGCCCCCGCCAACAAGTTCAAGGTCGCCGACCTCTCTCTTGCTGCCTTCGGCCGCAAGGAGATCGAGCTTGCCGAGAACGAGATGCCCGGTCTCATGCAGACCCGTGCCAAGTACGCCGCCGACCAGCCCCTCAAGGGCGCCCGCATCGCCGGTTGCTTGCACATGACCATCCAGACTGCCGTCCTCATCGAGACCTTGACTGCTCTCGGTGCCGAGGTCACCTGGACTTCCTGCAACATCTTCTCCACCCAGGACCACGCCGCTGCTGCCATTGCCGCCGCCGGTGTCCCCGTCTTCGCCTGGAAGGGCGAGACTGAGGAGGAGTACAACTGGTGCCTGGAGCAGCAGCTGACCGCCTTCAAGGACGGCCAGAAGCTCAACCTCATCCTCGACGACGGTGGTGACCTGACCCACCTCGTCCACGACAAGTACCCTGAGATGCTCAAGGGCTGCTACGGTGTCTCCGAGGAGACCACCACCGGTGTCCACCACCTCTACAAGATGCTCAAGGACGGCAAGCTCCTTGTCCCCTCCATCAACGTCAACGACTCCGTCACCAAGTCCAAGTTTGACAACTTGTACGGCTGCCGCGAGTCCCTCATTGACGGCATCAAGCGCGCTACCGATGTCATGGTTGCCGGCAAGATCGCCGTCGTTGCTGGTTTCGGTGATGTCGGCAAGGGCTGCGCCCAGGCCCTGCACACCATGGGTGCCCGTGTTATCGTCACCGAGATTGACCCCATCAACGCCCTCCAGGCCGCCATGGCCGGCTACGAGGTTACCACCATGGAGAAGGCCGCCTCCCGCGGCCAGATCTTCGTCACCACCACTGGCTGCCGTGACATCCTGACTGGCCAGCACTTCGAGGCCATGCCCAACGACGCCATTGTCTGCAGTAAGCACATACCCATGATCACTTGTCCTTGATTGCTCTTTACTAATCACCTCTTCACAGACATTGGCCACTTCGACATCGAGATCGACGTTGCGTGGCTCAAGGCCAACGCCCAGAGCGTCCAGAACATCAAGCCCCAGGTCGACCGCTTCCTCATGAAGAACGGCCGCCACATCATCCTCCTTGCCGAGGGTCGCCTGGTCAACCTTGGCTGTGCCACTGGCCACTCTTCCTTCGTCATGTCCTGCTCCTTCACCAACCAGGTTCTTGCCCAGATCATGCTGTACAAGAACGGCGACGCCGCCTGGGGCCAGAAGTACGTCGAGTTCGCCAAGGCTGGCAAGCTCGACGTCGGTGTCTACGTCCTCCCCAAGGTCCTCGACGAGGAGGTCGCCAGACTCCACCTGGCCCACTGCAACGTTGAGCTCACCCAGCTCAGCAAGGTCCAGTCCGAGTACCTCAGCATCGCCGTTGAGGGTCCCTACAAGAGCGACATCTACCGCTACTAAGCGGCCTTCTTTTGACATCCAGTCTGGCGACTGGATTTCTTCAACATTCCGATTAATGACTTCGACGAGCGTACACCATAACATTTGGCAACGTGTGTTCTCAACAGCATGACTTGCATGACACATCTGGGAAAGGGAATCTCGGCTTGGGGGCGGTTACGGGCTGGAAACTCAAAAAGCTTGGGGGTTTGCCTGGCTGCGAGATTTTTCAACAAAAAATAGGCGTTGGCTTGTGAATAGTGATTCCCCAGACCATGGCATTTTGTATTTTGCTTTTCGTCGGCCCGACTTTATGGGAGCGGGACAAAAAGGGACTCAACCCCCGGATATGGGAAATAGGGGTACAGGGTAGATCAACTTGGAGGACTAGGACCCGTCAACCGTGGTCCGCATAGAAGAATATATGCGTCCTGTGAGCAAACACTTGGTTCCTGCTGTGGTTATTCGCTGTGATGTTAGTGATTCGCGATGTCGCTGTGGTGACAAGGTCTCACTGTCTTGTCGTGTCCGAGGCCAGTAGCGCAGAGCTGTATAATGTCTGCATTGCCAAGTCTCGGCAGCCGCAGAGGTGTCGCTTTCAAGGTCAGCCAACCTCCATTGCTACTGTACACGTATACAGGGCCGAATTAGACTCGACGCCTTGCTATGAGACGGAGGACAACTCAAGTGGGGGCTGGGTGCTCTCATGCTTGGACAGCTCTCGTGTCTTGGTTGCTTGGATAGCTGTTGTCACCTTGGTTTTTGGCCGGCTCGTTCGTAGTCTACCTCTCCGACCTCTGCGAACACCAATACTGTTTCTCTGCAAAGTTGTTTGTCTTGCGGTATTTGTCTTTTGGTCGGATCTGCCCGAATTCCGGTCAAAGACTCAATGTCTTGTGGCTTGCTTGATAGTAACCGTATGAGGGTACTGTCCCATATCCAATGTGCCGTCTCTTGACCCCGTAGGTTTACAGTCATAAACAGACTATAAAGTCGCACAATGCCGCAGAGATAATCGAGAGTGTGCTTCTATTCGCACTTTTCAAGTTTACCGACCCGAGCTCCTGACTCCGCGTCTCCGCAACCAGTCGAGCCGTAAACCAAACCCTCCGCCGACATTCGCACCCCATGCCGTTACCCCTTGACCAGCCCCTTCTGCTCGACAACGACGCTGTTCAGCCTCCCCTCCTCGACGGCGCGCCGCACGTTCCCAATGGCCCACTCCTCCATCTTGACGCTCGTCTCGACGGTCCAGGTGCCCATGTGCGGCACGAGCAGCACGTTGGGGTTGTCGAGCAGGCCCGGGTGGACCTCGGGCTCGTTCTCGAAGACGTCGAGCCCCGCGCTGGCGACGCGGCCCGAGGCGAGGGCCTCGACGAGCGCCGCCTCGTCCATGACGGCGCCGCGCGCCGTGTTGACGATGACCACGCCGGGCTTCATGAGGGCGAACTCTGCGTGGGAGATGATGTGACGCGTGTGGGCCTGGCGGGTGTCAGTCATTCCTCTCCGACAGGAGGTGTGGAAAAGGGGGTTGAAGGGGAGGGGGGACTCACGTTCAGAGGCAGGTTGAGGGAGATGACGTCGCTCTCCCGCAACAGCGTCTCAAAGTCGACGTACGCGGCGCCGCACTCGGCCTCGAGCGCCGCGTCGAGCCTCGTTCGGTTGAAGTAGCGCACCGTCATGCCGAACGCCGCCGCCTTCTTGGCCATGTTCCTGCCGATGCCGCCCATGCCGAGGATGCCGAGGACCTTGCCCTGCGGGTCGCGGCCCAGGGGCGGGGGCGGGTTGCCGCGCCACTGGCGGTTGCGGAGGGAGAGGATGGAGGCGTTGAGGTTGCGCAGGGCGCCGAGCATGAGCCAGATGTTGATGTCGGCCGTGGCGTCGTCGACGGCGGTTGGCGTGTTGGAGACGAGGATGCGGGGGGTGCAGGCCGGGATGTCGATCTGGTCGTAGCCGGCGCCTGTTGCGCGCGTCAGCGTTGCTGACATTCAATGTTGCATTTGGATCTCTCTTCGAGAGGATTTTATGATCTCTGGCCACCTGCGGCGGTTGAGGGAGACGACGATAAGGGCTCACCATTGTGGCAGATGAAGCTCACGCTCTCGGGCAACGCGGCGACCAGCTCGGCGTCGATGCGCCCCGTGGTCTTGACGCTCGCGAACGTGCGGTAGATGGCCTTTACGCCGTCGAACGCGCCGGACCTGCACTCGTCGAGAAACTCGGCGCGGCTGGTCGCCTTGGGCTTGACAATGTCTGCGACGGAGCTCAGACTGGACCAGGCTTCGTGGGCGCTATGGGGCGGTCAGCTCAGTTGCGGAGGTGAGACGGAACGAGGAAAGGGGACGGGATGAATGAGGTGGGATGAACGGTTCCGAAGATGGTGAAAGTCGGAGATGAGGTTCGCGAGCACGGGTAGACATTGACGACGCCGGTGAGCATGGGTGAGCGAGGGACGTACTGCTCGATCTCGCCCAGCTGGAGAACCTTGGGCTTCGACATGGCTGCGGGACGTTCACTCAGCGGTTGTTACTGTCTCTATATGTAGATGGCTTGAGACGGCTTGTCTCTGGTTTCATCTCAGTCCTGGTCAGCAACAATATAATGTGTGTGAGCGCCGTCTGATGCTGTGGGCATGGAGCCGACGGGAAATCCCCAATAACCAACGACAGAACGGGCCACGAGAGACACGACTCGTTCAATCGGTTAACTGACCTTTGTATCAATTCAGCACGGAGAATATGGATGTCTGTTGTAACGTCTAGAGGCCCGGGTATCGCGAGGCCAGGGGAACGAGTGTCGTTTTTTGGAGGGAGATGCCCCTCCAAGAAAGCCGGCGCGGGGTGGCTTGTCTCGCCCGTTGAGTCGTCGCACGACAGACGTGGAAGGTGGGGGGCGAACGGTGGGGTCTGAACTCAATTGGAGCTCCCAGTTCCGTCGTCTCGGCGGGCGTCGACCCGGAGGGTCAGAAATGCCTGTGATCGGCAGGTAACTCACAACCAGGGCAGGAAGCCAAGGTTTTCAGAACATTCGCCGTCCAGGTGCAGCTGCCCGGCCTTCCAAACGCCCATGTCGATTCACCTCGAACACGCGGGTAATTTCCCACTTTAGGAGGCCTTTAGGAGGCCATTAGGAGGCACGATGATCGCCCGTCCCCCAGATTTTGCCCGAGCCAACGGGGCCGAACAAGCTCCATATCAATCGGACGCAAGGCCGGGTCGGACTCCAACCCATGCAATCGCAACCAGCTTGTCTACAACCAATTCCGTAGCCCTGCGCGATGATGGAGATGTACCTCCCACAAAGTCCCGTAAGCCCCCTCTGCCGTCATGCCACGCCGGCAAACACGATCGCCGCCACGACTTTATCCGATACCGAATTGCGTCTCCGGATAAGCGTCTGGCATGCGCCAAACCCCCTCCCTCCCAACCGTGGAAGAGAAGACGACGCCGATATCGCTTGGGTTCGCGATCAGAGCTCCTTCTCTCCCCATCCCCAACCCGTCTATTTGCCCGAATGCGAGACTGTTCGAATTAGAACCTTGCTGGTTCTAGTATGCGCCATTAAACCGCCGTTGGGCGTATTCGTGTCCCGTCACCGTGACCTCCAACTCCCGCACCCCAAGGAGTCCCGACAGCGATGGCCTGCAAGCTGCATCGCGCTCGCTCACCGGAACCCCGGGCCGGCGCAGCTCTTCCACTTGGCCCAACACCCACGTTGTCAAAGCTCGACGGCCCCTCGCTCGAGCTGCCTCTGCAGTCCTTCCTACACTTCCGCTTTCTGCCTCCAGTGCAGAAGAGCGGCTTGTTGATTGCAAGTTTTTGTATTTCTTGATTTCTACCAGCGTCCCATACCTAGAAACCCGGTGAATCTGTTGTCTAGTATCGTACATAGAGCACTGGCAATGCCCAGGCCTTGATGATAACGTCTGCCATGCCCAGGAAGTTCCTGGAACAAGATCCCCCTTCCCCCCTCCATCTGCAGCCACCTCCCATTGCTCAACCACATCGAAAAACAAAAACCGCTTTTCTTTTCTTCCCGCCACACCGCCCGCCATGCCGGAATATGACTAGTTTTAAGGGTGGGACACTATTTATACAAAGATGCCGTCGGCCGTGAAAAAGTGATGAGACGAGCGGCGCAGTGCCGGCTCGTATGCAACCGCCTGGGAAAAAGGAAAAGGAAAAACTTCACGGGAACGAAAGCCATGCCTTCCTTTCCACTCCTGATAACGCCTTGGAATAAACAAAAACACCTCCTTTTTTTTTGTTCTCCCCCCCGCCCTCTCCCGAGCCTGGAAAATGCTGCAGAGTGTCAAATGCTGAAAACAAGGAGATTCTGGTCGGAACGATCAAGGCTGTGCTGGAACAGCCGAGCTAGAGTGCGCCGCAATGTTGACACCGGGACTTATGTAGGCTCGGATGGCAATCTCGCTGAAACGTCGGACAATGTTGGTGGTTCCGCCAGTGACCTGTGCCTCATCCTGAATGAACTTGTTGGCAACCCAGAGTCGGTTCTTGGGGTCGGACTCATCGAGGTGCTTGGGGATGTTCCTCTCGAACCCGGGTTCGACACGGGGGGAGAGCTCGCGCGAGATAGCAATGGAGTAGATGAGATCTCGGTTTTCCCTGCCCCCCAGCTGGAGTCTCAGCCGGCCAAGGATTTCGTCGCGCTTGGCGGCATCGTGGTGGCAAAGGTACTGAGCGAGGTTGTGCCAGAACTCAAACTCCTGCTGGCGATGAGGATTCGCATCGGGGACCGGAGGAGCGAGGAGATTCGAGGGCAGGAAGTCGCCGCAGAGAAGAGCCTCGAGCACCTTGACTCGGTTGGCAGCTTCCGTCAGGTCCTCGGGGGGCGGCAGAACCTTGGCCTCAGCGTTCGTCGACGGAGGAGCGCTGTTGCAAGGCAGTGTCGCCAGGGCCCAGATCAAGCGCGTCTCGAGAACCCCAGAGTGGGCCATCTGCGTGTGGTCGTTGGCCGGCACAGACTGGACAACCTTGAGAAAAGAGGCGAATTGGCTGAGGAGAGGCTGGCTATGTTCGAGGAAGAACTTGCCCTGGACATCCTGCTTCTGGAACCAGTTGGACTCGAAGAAAGCCTGCAGGCCGACAGCGTAGACCTCGCGGTAGATGTTGATGATTTCGGTGAGTAGCTCCGGGGTGAGGGCAATCTCCTGGGTGGGAGCGGCAGGGCCCAGGAGGCCGATGAGGTCATCGAACTTCATTCTTTTGGCTGCTTGGTTCCAGTCAGTATTGAGGGACTCGGGACGAAGCAACTGCTGAAAGAGAACAAGGCATGTACAATGATTGCGGGAGCGTCGCACCTCTGAGATGGTTGTCGAAGCCTGCCCTTTGCTCGCCCGAGAACGACTGAGTCTGAATGGAGGAAACGGTAGCCGGGGCGGGTAGGGTCTGCAGAGCAGGATCTATGGGCGCGGTGAAGTCGTACGTCGTCTCGGTCTTGATGCTGGATGCGGTCGAAGAGAGGGATGGATCGAGGGGCGAGTGCGAGGTGGTCACGGGAGGGTTGTACGAGCTCGGCAGGACGGCCGGCTGGGCGCCGTAGGGGTTGGATGAAGAAACCGGCACAGAAACCGGAGGAGCGACGGGCGTTGAGGGCACGGTCGGGACCGTTGGTGGGACTGACGAAGGCACGGACGGGACGGTCGGAGTCGGCACCCGTTGGGTATTTGGAGCAGGCTGAATAGCGGAGGGGCCCGGTTGCTGCTTGAAGATCGGATCGTATCCCAAGCACTCGCGCTTCGATTTTTTGCAGTTGTTGCAGGTCGGGTGAGCCTCGTCGCACTGAGAGATAATAGTTAGAAGAGGTAGCTTGAAGTGGTGGTCAAGAAAGAAAGCAGGTTCTGATGACAGCGAAGAAGAAAAATGAGTCAATCGCACAATTGCTGGATTGTGAATGTGAGTTGGGTATGATGAGGCCAGGTGATGTGAGATGAGGCTAGTTGGGTTGAAGTTGAGCGACGACGTCGCGGGCGAGGCTAAGCCAAGCTAGCCAGAGTCGGCGTGGCTGGAGTCTGGAGTTCTTGGAGGTGGAAGGTGCGAAGCGAGGCGAAGCGAAACGAAGCGAGAGGCGCCCCGTCCAGCGAACTGACGGGCTGAGGCTTGGGGCCTGGGAGGGGGTTCCCTCAGCGGGCGGGCGGCGGTCTGTTCTGCAGGAACCGAAGATTGCTCCTCCCTGCGGGCGCGGGCGTAGGCGCAGCCGCGGGCGCGATCCCGGAACGTGGTCCAAGGCATGGCTCCCGTCCTCGCTTCGCAGTAGCTCCAGATCAAGCGAACATCAAGCGACCGTTTTTTTTTCTTGCGAAACCACGACTCGGTTCGCTTATCGTAAACTTTGTTTCTTTGCCATTGCCGCATTCCCTCTTTATTCCAATGGTGATGCGACTTCTGGTTGACGCCCAGGAAAAAACACTCCCCAACTGCCCACGAAATCGCCCATTTCACTGGGGGGAAAGAGGGAAAGAGGAAAAAAAGACAACAATAGAATGTCACAAAATTCTCACTAACCTTGATCCGACGCTTACGGCACGTCAGGCAGCCTGTCTTTGTCCGGCGCTTGATTTCCTGGAAGGGGTAAATCCCACCCGTCAGCTTTTATCCAAATGACTTGATGCTGCCGCAACAGTCTTCCCCTCCTCATTGTTCCTCCCGACTTACCTTTTTAGGGCCGCCAGGACCGCGCATCAGCCTAGGATCGTGATGGGGGATCTGGTATCTGAGGTGGTTCAGGTCCTGCGTCATGTACGGGTTGCCCTGCACTCCCGGCGGCAGGTAGTACTGCATGCCCTGGTTCGGGGCCATTTGCATCTGCATCGGCATCGCCTGGGGAGGCGGCGCTCCTTGTTGGTAGTGGTGGTCGAGGCTCTTCATGCTCGGCAGCGAGGGAACCGGTGCGCCAGGACTAGCTCTGTACGGGTCGGCGGGAGCCTGGCCCTGCTGCGGGTGGTAGGCGTATTGGTTCGGGGGCACGGAGCCGGGCGAGGAGAAGTTGTTCGGGCTCGGATAGCCTCTCTGGTGACCCGGAGCTTGGTGGTGGTGGGACATGGCCGGTGAGGATGACGCCCTCGCGTCGCCGTTCTCCTGACCGTTCTGCTGCGGGGGCGCAGGAGCAGGAGCGGGAGCGGGAGCCGCAACGGGAGCAGCCGGAGCAGGCGCGGTCGCAAGGCCAGTCTCAGGCGCCGGTGCCGTGGCAGGAACGGACGCGTCCGCAGTCGCAGTCGACGAAGTCTCGGCGGAGGGAGTCGGGGTCGAGATGGAGGTCGAAGTCGAGTTCAAGGTCGGCGTCGTAGAGAGGGGCGCGGGAGCAGGTGCGGAAGCGGAAGCAGGAGCAGAGACAGGAGGAGGAGGAGGAGGAGGATGAGGAGAGGTCGAAGTGGTCGGGGGAGGGACCGATTTAGTAGAGGTCGTCAAGGGCTCCGTACTGATAGCGACGACGTCGTTGACATCAAGCGGAGGCACGGGTACAGGCGCAGGCGCAGGTACGGGCACGCTGGAGGTGCTGGCACTCGTGCTGGTGCTGATGCTTGTGGTGTCTTCTTGAGCCATTTCGATTTTAATTAGAAATTTTTATGGAGCCACGATTGGCCTTCTGAGGTCGACCAGGGGAAGAGGCGTGGATGGATGCGTGGATGCGCGACACCCTGGGGCGCAGGTTGAGCAAGAGCTGTGCCTTGAAGTGTGGTCCCTGTGCAGAGCGGCGCGACTGGAGAGATTTTTTTTTTTCGTGTCTGCTTTTGCTCGCCTGCCGCTGCTGCAACTGCTGCTGGTCCTTGGGAGGAGCGGGAGAGGGGGTGCGGAGGAACAGCAGCAGGAGGAGAAGAGAGGAAGGGTACGCGTAGGGGCCCTGTGGGTGTGGGCGAAGAACTCGAGGTCGACTTAGGGGTGACCTTTTCGGACCCGTGTCGTCAAGCAGCAGCAACTGCGCGGAAGGAGGTCTCGTCTCGTTGGGGACGCGAGGAGGAGGAGGAGAAGGAGGAGAAGGAATCGATTGTGGGTGGTTAACCGTGTTCCGTAGCTGGATCCCTGCCGCTGTATCCAATCCAATGTGCAGTGTGCAAATCCAATGTGCAAGCACTTGTCTCCTCGCGTGCGCGCGCGCAGTGGAGGGTAGAGGTCGGGTGGTTGGGTTGTGTCGGCCGAGAAGGACTGGGTTGCATCAAGGAACGGAGTGCGGCGCAAAAAGAGGAGTTGAGTCCAGGTCTGCACAATTTTTCGCGACGGTTGTGCTGAAGCTCTCTCTCTCTCTCTCTCTCTCTGTGGACGAAGGGACTCGTCCTGCCGTTCGTCGGCCGCGACACCACCTAACAGGCTGTTTCCACGCGTGCGCGCAGGGCAGGAGGGGCCAGGGTGTGGTCGGGGTGTAACCGTGTTCTGCCAGGCTTGACTTGGGGGTGGGCGAGAGGCTCAGTCTGGCAGTCTGCGAGGTGACTGGCTGGGTATACTCTCCGAACGCTCCAAGTATCCAGTCGGTACCTCGGAGCGTGCAAACAAGGTACAATGAGAAGGACTCAAAAGCCGCCTCCAGCGTCTGGTATTGGCCAGGGGAGACGACGTATTGGTGCAAGTGGATCTATCAGTGGAAGGCGGAAGAGGGGGGCTATTGATGTTAAGGGACGAGGCGAGGAGACACCAGGTTCTTCAGGTACAGGCACAGGCAGGACATGCCCATGGGTGCGTTTGACTGGGATTCAATGGGTTGCGCAGCGCAAGGTATAGCGCACATTAGAGCTGAGGGGAGGTAAGGAGGGCAGCTGAGCAGAGGTGGCGGTGGTGGTGGTGGTGGTGGTTGGTGCGATCCTTGGAAGTCGGAAAGTGATGGTGAGGGCACAGATTGACGGGCCGGCGAGCAGTGGGAAACGGGTATTTGACGCGGTCTTGGCTAGCGGGCGACATCGGTTTGCTGCCCTGTTCAGTGTTTGCTGTCCGGTATCCAGGATGGTGGAGAGCGTTTAGGGACGCGGACTGGGAGTGGGAGAGTGGGAGACGCGGGTCGGGTCACCGTCCAGGGTTGACCGATTGTGTCGGGGTGTACAGGGGAATGTTCGAGATCAGGTGGTCATTGTTGCCGTCGCGGCCGCGCAGCCCATGGAGGAAGTGGGCGGGAAAGGAGCGGGAAGATGATGTGGGAAGGGGGTAGGGAAAAAGATACCGAAAATAATAAAAGAGGAAAAAAAAAAAAAAAAAAAAGAAGGTTTGGTGTCAGTGTGGACGAACTAGAGTTTAGGTGAGAAGACGTCAGCCCGGTGAGGAGCTGAGATAAGCTTGAGGTGTGTCTTACTGACCTTGCTTTCTGTAGTGTACTATGGTATCTACTTGGAGGAAAGAAAGAACATCTGCGGGGGGGAAGCGACCATCCAGAAAGAAAAAATAATAGCAAAGATGATAGTTAGTATCCGGTACTAATTCTCGCAAATTCGTCTCAAGAAGGAACGCTCCTCCTCCTAGTCTAGGTACCCTTCCACCGGCGGGTTCCCGGATAGCCTTTTTTTTCTCGAGGAAGGAGACGAAAAGAATTTATTCCTACGTTCTAAGGCACATAAAGGGGGCTCTCTGATTGGCTCAGATACACGAGAACGATACGTATCGACCCATAGACACAGTCCGGATAAGCTAACCTGGAAAGGACAGTATTTCGACATTGACAGCGTCTTCTTTAGGCCCTTTGCACCACTAGGGGATTTTAGCTCAGTGGAATTCGTCCCGACTTTTCCACGGGGGGCGAGCCGCCAGAGATCCCCGTCGCTCCAGTACTCTGTAGATATTGTATATTACATTATGTACCTCGAGTACCTCGTCCCCCTCTGTACGTACGTGCGGTACACCCCTCTTGCTCTGAGGTGTTGTGCGTTTGGACTCTCCGGAACATCTCATGATCTTCCCGTGGTCGTCGAAGGGTCGAACATGACACAGCTCAACCGTCAGCTCAACGGCTCCTCCTCATATCCTCTTACCTGCCTAGACTCCGTCGAGGAGGCAAGTACTCTTTCTGTGACTCGTAAGAGGGTCCCCCAACTCCTGCCCCCCGAACTTGGTTGGACCCGGGCCCGTTTCTGTGGCTGGAGGGACCGCTTCTGAGGCAACATCGAACCATCTTCCCCCTTCCCTCTGATATGCCCGTCCCATCCCCAGCGGCCCCCGTCTTACATAGTATAGTCGGATGCAATCGGCAGCGGTGCGTGCTTTAAGTTATACACTGGGGCATTACTCAAGTTACATAGCACAACGTCCCATTCGCCCATATATTCGCCCTCTACACAAAGCCCGTTTTGGAGTTGCACCGACACAAAGGAGGTCGTTTTTCCTCTTCCGAATCGCAACCACACAACGACCTCCTACTTTCCACCAATATCATCCGTGTTAAGGCTTGACAGAGCAAACCAGAGGGCTGCACACGACCCGGTACCAGAGAGAGACTTGCCCCAGCAGCTTCGTGAGGCTCCGAGGCACCTCGGACTCAAGTCCCACTGAGCTCTGCTTTAGCGCCGTCTCGTGCCTGATTTACGTAACCAGATACATCTCCTGCATGTTCCATCTCGAGGCCTGGACGCGTCTCCTCCACGTACCTACTCGCAACTTCGTCAAATTTCACCTCCTGTGCACCGACTACCCCCTCCCCCCCGTTCGCCCAATGCAGCGAATCGCCATCTCGTACCACGCTTCTTCGCATGAACTGGCAATTCTACCAAAGCCACACTTGCAGCAGATCATTGAGGCGCTACCTTGACTTGACCTCATCCTCAATTTCAGCCCTGGACGCTCTCGCTCGACGTACGGACAGAGCATTGGCCGACGACATGATCATCATCGTTGAGTACGACGATATCGCTCTCGCTGTGCAATACTCCTTTCACCGTCGCCATCTTCTTTGCACCACCTTGCAGCCAACAGCACCGCTTCGAGGTGCCCTGTCTTGGCCCGCCCTTCACTGTCTCCTGTGCTACGTCCCTTGCCATGTTTGCTCTACCGGCCACAAGCCCCTCTCTTCGCATCCGTCATCCCCTCTTCGTCCCCCTTTCCGCTCGTTTCCTTCCCGTCTACCCCCTTCCCCCTTGTTCCCCTCGCAAGCCCATGCTCCAAGTATAGTTCCCAGGACAAGGTGAGCAAGCCCGGCGACTGCCGCAGCCACCAACGGCCGCCCACTCGGGAAGCGCTGTACTTCGACAATCTATCGAGAGCGCTAGGGGTCTCTCTCAGTTTGGTCCTTCACTAAATGATACCATTTCCTATAGTTTATCGTAACCGCGGCTGGCAACTAAACGCCTATCAGCATTACGATGTGGAGGCACGAAAGTCAGGCTTCCCGTGCTTCGCCTTGCTTCGGGCACATGTGACAAACACTGGGAAGTTGGTCGTCGAAGACCTACCATGTACCGCCAAAGCATCGCGATATCTAAACGAGAATCCCGTCGAGGGAGATTATCCGTCAATCGATGCTCGTCAATCCCTTCTCCTTGTGCCCCTCTCGTCAGCGATCGTCCATCGTGCGAATCACCGCTATCCATTCAAGGTGACTTTCTGAGTGGCTTTGTCTCGTGAACCCTCCACGCAAATAACGGCTCTTCAATCCCACCGCCCACTCTCTTCTGTCGGCCCTGCAACACCCATGCTCGCATCCACGCGACCAGCGTCTCCTTTTCAGCCTCCATCTCGTACCCAGTAATGGAGCTCCCATGCTCATCTCCAATCATCTGTGCATCTTCATGCGCTGCTCCCAGGGGTCTTCTGCACTATTGAGTCCCAAGCTTTCTTTTAGGGAATCAAGCACAACGCAATACTTCGTCAATCTCATTTGCAATCTCTCGCCATCCTCCATTGGCACCCAAATGTCATCAAATCCATGGCTTTAGTCCCCGCGGTGCCATTGATAGAACAGCAAGCCAGCTTCGATGCCTGGACCATGTCATGTCGCGCCGTCTCGCCTCACCTCGCCTCGTGGATCGCCCACGTTGTAATAGTCTTTTTTTACCTCTCTATTTCCCCGCAGACCCGGAGCTCCTGCAGACTTCCCTCAGGAGGTTTAGTCCATCTCGGAGGGCATGTCTGCGAACTGAACCGGGTGCTTTCCCCGCCACCGCGTTAGTATGTTGCCACTAAGACCACTTCAATGGCATTTTGGTCGAGTCCAAGGGTTCGACGATGCTTTTGGAGCAAATGGGACCCATCGACACTTTAACAATACCGAAAAATGGCATGTACAAGACCGCCGTCGATTGTACGAGGCTCTCGGGTGTTTTTGGTGTTACTTATTCGCCGTTCTGCGCCTGGACGCCAAGTATTTGATCCCAATAACTGCCCGAGAACAGGACCACTTCCGCGAATGAGCCCGGGCCGGGCAACATGCCAATCGCCATGGTTGCATCTTACATACACTAGACCGAACCTTTGTGCCTGAAGATCATTTCCCCCTTTTGCTTGGTCGTTTGCCGGGGGGGGGGAGGGGGCTTGCCTTTCTCTCTTCCTTTCACCTCTCCGTCCACCCACCACGTCTGCCTCAGCCAATATATGCTGGCGGGCGTCAGCCAAGCGTGGAAGAGTAGTTGCGCGTCGAGCAGCGTCCAAGCTTCCCTCGAGTCTTCCACCGGGTTCTAACTGGTATCGCTTCTTTTTTGAGATTCACTGTGCGTTGTTTGGCTCCTGTGTGGTGCGCATCACAGTCGGTACCTGAGAGGTGCACAGATCGGCCTTTAGGCTCATCGCTTCGATGCAGGCCGCTGGCGAAATTCAAGCAGATGACGGTTTCATTCGTGAGAGTCGAGTTGCACCAGTTTTCTTTTTTCTCTCCGTCGGCATCTCCATCCTGGTAGTTTATCCGAGTAAATGACCCCGGCACAGCTTGCCGTCAGACTAAGACGGAAGGGTTTGGGGGTTTGGGTTTTTCAGGGCAAACAGAATAATCAAACATATTGGCCGTGAGGGATTTACATGATGCATAATACTTTGATTCTTTTACCGCTGTATGAGCATATGGAGCGTCCCGGCTAGTTACGCCATCGTCTTGTCGATCAACTTAACTCCAGTCGTCATGATCCGGAAGCTTCTCCTCATAGTACACCTCCTCGACTCTCTGAAAGCCCACCTCGGGAGCATCGTACGGCCATGGCTCTCCGTTGCCACTGGCGAAGAGAGCAAACATGGATCCTTCAAAGTTTGGATATCCAGGGTTCGAGCCCATCTGCTTGGCGCTGAATTCCTTCAACAATGTCGGGGACTTCGCGTTGCCGCGCGAGTATCCAAGGGAGTACTTGAGCGGCTTGGCGCGGATGTGAAGCGTTAGGTCTGCGGGAATGCGGGACTCGTTCAGGGGGTACTCGGTTGACTATGAAGGTCAGCACTTCCATTGACCTTTTGACATGATTGAGCACTCACATTTGGTCTCGTTCCCGGTCCGGTGGATGTCGGCAAGAGGTCAACATACACACATAACCCGGCCGAGTTCCAGCATCCCCTTACGCCAATGTCTTGATGATTGACCTCGCTGAGATACGACGAGATACCCACCGACTGTCTCAGGCCCAACCCTGCTGACGTCGGTAGCAACTTCGCTGAAAAGGTCATGTTCAACGACGTCTGCTTGTGAAGCACAGCGGCGGCCGTGTCGCGGTCTCCGAGGGTGAAGACGTTGGGGTTAAACACAATCCCCGATGCGTTGGCATACACGCTCTTCTCAACCTCGCCGGCCGACTTGAGACGGAAGTTCTCCGTATAAGGCGTCCGCGTTTGGTACCATCCCAATCCCAACTCTGGACCCTCAAACCCATCAACCCACTTCGGCTTGGGCAGGTCCTGGTCAGGCCCCTCGATGCTCTGGCTAAGCAACAGCGGCTCCCCGCCGTTCATCGTCGGCCAGTCGTCCTGCCAGTCCACCTTGACCAAGAACGCCTCGCGCCCAAGCGGGGACGCGCCTTTGACGTTCCTCCGCGCGAGGAGCGACGCATACCACTCCCCGTCGACCGTGTCAGTGAAGGTCGCGTGGCCAGTTGACTGGATTGTTAGGTTCGGGTTCGCGCCGTTGAAGATCAGGGGGTTCGTTGGGGACGACTCCCACGGCCCCTCGGGAGACTTTGAGCGGCCCACCGTCGCGCGGTGGCCGGTGCTCGTGCCGCCCTCGGCAAGGACGAGGTAGTACCACTCCCCGCGCTTGAACATCTTGGGGCCCTCGGGCCTGGCGCTTGGGAGCTGCGGGAGCGTGCCGTTCCACAGGCTGCGGTAGGGGCCGACGCACTTCCCCGTCTTGAGGTCGATCTCGCACTGGGTGATGCCCCAGAGGCGGTCGTAGTTATTGTTTGGGCCCATGAGGTTGAGGTAGTTCTTGCCGGTGACGGGGTCGTGGAAAATATCAGGGTCGATCCCGTAGGGCTCGGCCCAGACGAGGTCGGACCAGGTGACGAGGTCCGGGGAGGAGATATACCAGATCCGCGGCCAGGTGCGGGAGTCTGGGTCGGAGCCCCACCGGGTCATGGAGGTGATGTAGAAAAGGCCGTCATGGTACGAGAAGGACGGGGCCCAGACGCCCTCGCCGGCGGAGACGCCATACAATGGCAGGACCTCGGGCGTCTTGAGTGCGTGGGAGATGAGTTCCCAGTTGGCAAGGTCTTTGGACTTGTAGATAGGGATGCCAGGGTAGTAGGTGAAAGAGGAGACGGCCATGTAGTAGGTATCCTCAACGCGGAGGATTGCCGGGTCGGGGTTCCATCTGCACGCTGTTAGTCAGATGTCTAAGTCCAACTTGAAGGGAGCTGCGAGCTCACCCTGGAAGGACTGGGTTCTTGATGCCAAAGACGCCAGCTGCAAGTAGCAGCACTGCACCGTTAAGAAACTTCATCATTAGTGACGAGTTTTCGACAGAAAACCACCCTAGCTCGGCCGGTTTCATAAGTCCCGACCGGTTGGGCCTAGGGTCTCTGTTTTATGTTTTATAAACCATCCCGGAAAACCACCATCATGCTCATCGCTACACGGCCCTCGGCTCAGTAGCAAAGCCGGAAAACCATCGCCTTCCCCCTTCATGCCAAAGTCCCCTTCGTCGTCCATCCCCGGCCATTCGGGCCCGGGCGAACCCACTGATGCGCGTTGGATAATACAGAGGGGAGGGAGTTGTGCAACGCGGGGTTGGCGCAGGCGGGGAAGGGAGCTGCCGAATGAAGCGACTGATCCCACCTCGACTACAGAGGAGATGTACCGTAGATCACGTCATTGCTGCCAAAGTGATAGGCGGAATTGGTTTGCACCGTTTGCCTCGCCCAAGAACGGTCTTGGCGAGGCGAGGGGCTGGCCTCTTGGGTTATGAGTTTCTTCCGGAAGTACAATATTTATGAACTCTTCGTCTTAAATGAAGATAAGGGTGAAGACTGGGAGGAACGGGTTCATGCGAGCCAATTACTGAAGGTCACTTGGGGTTATCGGCATGTCTGTCGTAGAACAAGAAGCGTTGCGGTGTAGAGAGGCACGAACATGGCAAGCATTGCGTCTGGCTTGAAGTGTCCAAGCATACTGGATTGACGATCCCTAGTATCGTGAATAAAGCTTTTATATGCCCGAATTCACCTCCTGACAATACTTTATTAGTACAAAAGATTGACTGATTGGCTCTACAAGCATGACAAGAAGGGCAGGAGCAGTGGTAAATTCGAGGGAATGGAGCATACAATCTTGAGCTCAGAACTGATGATCAGTGAACACACGAGGTGTTTCTGTAAGGAAAGCTAGGCTAAATCGAACTGATGCCGAGGATTCGAGTGACGAAGTTGAGTTACTGACGTTCTAGGAATCAGCGCCCCTTTCTCGGAAAACATGCTAGTGCTAGCTTCTAATCAACAGGCCAAAGTCTTTCTCAACATAGGTAATAACCCTGTAGGGCTACTGTTCTGTTGTAACAGTTTCTTCACAGTCCAGGATCTAGAAAGCACAAAATACTGTGTGCCCATGATCCCCTCTCCAGTTCCATCTCTGAGACCTAGAATGTATCTGTATCTAAAATGAACTCAAACACCGTCCAGGGTGTATTCTAAGGGTTAAATTTCCATGCTAACAATTTGATAAAGCCTTGTGCACCGGCACTGAAGCAGGCAACATAGCTCGTGTGCTAAAGAAAATCTATGGAAGAGCCGCTCGCTTAGTTCTGCTACTAAACCATGTTGCTTAAACAACCGCAGAATAGGCGCTCTACCCACAAAGCTTGAAGCATTCGGTCTAAGGGACCTGGGAAGCTTGCCCGCGCCCGAGCCTACGCCGTATAGGAGGCTGAATAGAAAGTAGGTTCTGGGGCCTTTTTGAGCGGCTATAGGGGGTGAGCCGTAATCCTTAGTGTACTACAGAGCCTGACAGCGCACATCAGAGCGTCCTTATCCTCTGAGAACTGAATTAAGACACCAAAGTCTTCACTATGCTTGGGATTCCCTGGCAGGCAGACCTTGGATGTGGATCGAGTTCGCAAGGTGTAGATGTCTCACAATACGACGTGAATGAAGCACAATCGTTTCGGCGAAAAGTACCATGTATCATTCAAAAGGTCGGGAGACGTTTGCGCATGTCATCTCGAAATATACCATGTTCCTCTTCACTACGACTTTAGAGAGGTGTAAATAACGACGATGGTATATTACATCACGAAACAATATTGAGTCTAGCTCGCGACCAGAGGCAACGGTAAGACTTAACCGTAGAATGTGCTGACCGGCGCGTGTGAAACAACACGGGTGACAAAAGGGCTCCTGTAACTAGAGTTGGTACCAAAGTATTCCTCCGCTGGCCCAAAGACATCAACCTTAAGATAAGAGGCTCTAATTAGAATCTGTCCCCAAGGAACAACTAAGAAGTGCATGAAGAAAACTAGAATTGCGAAAAGGTCTTTACCCCGAATCTTTGTCTTTCATCAACAGCCCCTGGTCGCGCTTACCAACAGCGGTATATGATGATATGAGCAATCTGCATGATGAGGTGTCATCATGCCGACTTCTTCAAGGGCTTATGCGTTGTCCTGTGCGATGTAACGGCCGGTCTTTCAGCCCAGAACAGTCTGGTACCAAGCTCACGCGTTGTGTGGATGGCGTCTTGCATCACGTTTGGTAGCGAAGCTACATCATGTCCGACTTTGTGCTGAGCCACATTAGACATGGTCGTCTTAGCGGCTTGATCCATGCTCCAGCAATCAGAAGTGAACAACGTGAGCTTCAATTCAGGTACTATTTACTGGTCTGGTTCGGAAGAGCATTATGTCGAACTCGTCTCGCATGGTGAACCGGCATAGCATGATGTTATCGCTCGATGGCAAAGCCCATGCATACGCAAGCGAAGTACCATCCGACGGCCACTTTGACTGATATCTCAGCCTGTGAGGGTAGTATCGCCAATTGTCCTGATCATGACTTTGCATGTGCTTGCGTTTTGTTAGAACCCCTTCATTGGCAGCTTCTTGTCTTCGGGAAAAGCAACAACTTCACCGGTTGATGTCAGCGGGAATCATGATGAATAACCACTTTGCAAGCCTCATGCGCTTTTGAAAAAAATAAAAATAGAACTAGTAATGAAGTTAGATCGATATTAGGCAGATCGATTTCGAGTAAACAGCTACACTCTGATCCAATGGGTCTAGAACGCAATGTGAATCGAAAAGGTGGCATCATCGGTCATCAAAATGCCTCGGGCTGGGGCAGGGCCATTCCCAAGATTGCAGGGACTGCTCGAATCAAGATCGCGTTACACAGAAAAAACATTGCGGTTGCTGCTGGTACTCGAGGCTACCCACTTAGATCAATATCCTCGAGCTTGCGGTCTGCTCACCTTGAGCTTTCCATAAATAAACAACAACAGCCAGAATATAGTCACAGCTCACACCCTATATGATGCCCCTTATGGCCGTCCCACAGTGGCTTCATCTGAAATGGTTCCTCCGTGTGTCTGGGTCCAGTTTTCTAAAGGCCACTCCATCTTTGAAGCTAACCGAAAATATCAGTGCTCCGAACGTCCAAGTGCGATCCATCATCCGAGTACGATCCATCATCCGAATCTTTAGCCGCTCATACCAAACCCGTGCTGTGTCGCTCCCTTGCTCGTCTGCACTGACAACGTTGCCGTGAAGTCGTGGTGTTCGATCTTAACCATGGAACTGCCAGGGCCGTAATACCATCCAACGCCGAAACTCCCGTCTGTTCGTTGGAACGACGACAACATCTGTAAGTCACTACTACGGTATCCCTAGCCCTTAGCAGATGGACAGGCATGTGCCTAGACGCACGGCGTCGCCGTCCTCATCGCTAACGGCGATATTGCGTTCAACGTGCTTTTTTAATTACGCACTCAAAAGCACATCACACATCTCGGTCAGCTCTGGCGCGTTGACACTGTCTATAGTGGCAATAGCAGTAAATGAGCTGCTCCAGGGTCAATTCATATCTTTTCGTGCCACAATCCCGGTTCTTAAACGTTGAGAAAACTAGATCCGTTGCAGTACGTCAGAACATATCTGCAGACAATTGAAGGGAACTAGTATTGGAATGATTCTATCTTCGGTTTTTGCAAGACAAGATCTTGTCCAGAACTCCGTTTACGGTTGAATCCTCGGGTGTCATTGCTGTACTTGCTATATAGGCTGTATTGACGTCTTCAGTACAGGGATTCGTCATAAAAACCGTCTTCTTGCTAAAGTATTTCCGTGTCCCTTCAGGGAGAACTCTCCTATGGTTTCTTGGGCAATATGTTTCTTTGAAGTCTTGCCCGAGGGATGCACCGATTACCAGTGGCATCCGGCATCAAAAGTTCGGCCCAGTTATCCTTGAAGCGAGTCCTGTGTCTGTCTCAGCCTTCCAGCAATGCGCACTCCTACTCCTACTCATATACTCCTCACATTTCCGTAGTTACTTGTCAGTCGCAATATTGGTTTCGTCTAGATGACCCGTCTTTCAGTATCAATAGAAAAATGCCAACACAATTATAGCATCCTCCAAAAAGTCCAACAAAGCGAGGCCGGGAAACAATTCCAGACCACGCTTGTCATCGAATAGCTTCCACAGCACGATTGTGGAAGAAAATAACGCAGAACAGCAAAAAGGAATTGACTATGACCGTGGCAGGGCTCGAACCTGCGACCTTCTCGGGATCAAGTGCACATACTTGTGAACGAGAAATCATAATCCACTAGAACACACAGCCGGAGGGAGATGGTGGATGTAATACCGTTTTGAGCTTAAGGAGCCAGCTGCATCGTGAGTGGATTGTGGCCTCTCATGCAAATTATCGGTCCGAAGTTAGCCGGTGACTTGGGCGACAATTTGCGATTTTGAGTACGGAGTTACCACAACATGCAAATTCCGTAGAGAGAGATATCTTGGAACTGTACTTCTCGGTAATCAGTTTTGAGCTCGACTCCACCTCGCCTGCTGTTCTAACCAGTCACACTGGGGATTGAGCCAATTGAGCTTTGCATGCTACTCTCTTACACTTTGAGGTATTCCACCCTGAGGAATAGAGCTTGCTGGACAGTGGGATGACATATCACTTGATTTGAAAACTCGAACGATGAATGAAAAATGCACCATTCGCAAATAAGCAATTGCCCTCATCTTCCGCGAATCACTGGCGGAGCTCAGTTGGAATCGGTTAGTCTCGATGGTCCCCAAACCGATAGTTCCATGCAAGTCAGCCGTAGCTGAGAGTGGGATACTTCCACTTTGCCTACGGCCTGCCCTCTTTTCTACTGCCAACTCATTTGGGACAGATTAACTCGATTTATTGCAGAAACAACAATACAGCACTGTAAACCTAAACTCTAGAGTGACTGCAATGAATTACGACAATTTGAAAATATCAGGACGACAAATCCGAGTTATTACTATAAATCCATTAGCACCACACCAACCTGAATCTGCACCTATATGTTGCACGATTGAAACTGCAACGCTGCCAGCCGAGCCTCAAAACTGGGATCCGAGTCTGCTACCAGCCAACTGTGTTGACTTTGACGACGAGGTGACGAATGCGCCTCACGAGCCCTTCGGTGGCTCATTCAGACAAGATGTCGCAATCATCGAGGAAAAAGCTGAGAAATCGATATCCCAAGTTGGCGGTGAAAAAATGCTGGACCCCGAATACGAAATCATACTTCCCCTCAACGACTTGGCCAACATGCTATCCATCGAAGACTTGCAGACTACGATTCGAAATGCGGAGTTGAATGACAGAGTTCGTCAAAACGTACTGCTTGACGATTCGGTCACCTTAGAGGGCAGGCTAGACACAAAGGATCTCAATCCTTTCTTTCGTCCGCCAAGGCCGAGAAATCAAAGGCAGCCGATTGATCCCCATTCTTATCTTGCTATGTCTTATTCTTGGGGCCCGGAACAACCTACAGCCTCCATCTTTCTAAACGGCACCGAGGTTGATGTTAGGGTGAACCTAGCAGCAGGCCTCCGCCGTTTTAGGACACTGGATTACTTCAAGCGAGGTGGAAAGATTTGGATAGACGCGCTGTGCATCAACCAATCTGACGATGCTGAGAAAGCAAGTCAAATTCCTTTGATGGGCTCGATCTACAAGCTTGCGGCTAACGTCATTGTATGGCTCGGCACTGAAACTGACGGAAGTTCCGAAGCCATCGATACGCTCCAAAAGCTAAGCTCCTTGTACCGCACTGAGTATATCGAAACATTCGACAAAAGTGATCCATTTACGGCGACAGCCTGGAGGCAGATGGCGCAGATCCGCCTGCGAACTAGCTTCCATAAACTCAAAGCGTTGTACTCCCAACTTGACTTGGACACAAACGAAGACGATTTCCGGTTGTACGAGTTCTTTGACCGGCCTTACTGGCGTCGACTCTGGATCATACAGGAGCTCTGCATGGGTCGAGCGGGAATGCCCATTGTCTGCGGCCCCCACGTCACCCAATGGCGGTACATTCGCGATGGGGCACTCATCTACACTGCATTTCTGCATGTATTGCAAGAGAAGTTGCCTGAGATAGTCCGTCGTTTTACACAAAAACAAATGAAGAACGAGTTGTCAATACTCCATGTCGCCCAGATAGCGCAGTTGGAGATATACGGCCACAGAAAACGTCTCCCTCCTGTAGACACCAGTTGGTTGCCTGTCTACTCAAATTTCGGGGAGAATGACGGCCTCCTTCATGGGTCCGCTTTTCGAAGAGCACTAATGCTGGCATCGGAAGCACAATGCTATCACCTCCATGATTCTGTCTATGGCTTGCTCAGTATTCCAGGACTTCCAGACCTCGGACTCACAGTGGATTATACCAAGCCCATCGCCGCCGTTCTGACAGAGTTCGCAGCGGCTTGCATAACAAAGGGCAAGAGTCTCGAACTTTTCTCGTTGATAGATGGTTGTGGGATGCCTTTGCGGGATTCTCAGGGAAACCTCCTTGATCGAACATACCTGCCATCCTGGGTTCCATATCTTGCTAGAACGCCAGAACAACGTGTCGGGACGATTGAAGGGAACTGGCACGCAAGTGGCAACAAGCAAGGGTTCATATTTGACGGGCACAATGTGGAGCCAAGGGTAAGAGAAGGAAATGTGCTCGCATGTTACGGTTTCATCGCAGAAATTGTTGATGGCGTTGGCGCAATATCCAAACCAGACATGGAAATAGGAAGCCGGTTTGCCCAAGAATTTCAGACGGGAATAGTCCAACCAGCGAGGGAGTACACATCCAGCTCTGAGTTCGGCCCTGAAGCAGATCATGACTTTGTAGACATGGAATCGCTTCGGAACCGGGTTGCAAAGACATTGACAGAAGGACCTCGGGTGTCTTGGGTATTAACTTGTGGCGCCGATGTGCAGGGCATAAAGCAATCTTTCGATTGTCTTTATGAAGCTTTTCCAGGTATGGGTACTTTTTCAAATGCCTTGTAACCGAATCTTCGAGAGACCACTAGCTGACAAGGTCAACCCAATCTCAGAGGACGAGCCATCACCCGAATCGCCCTTTTACAGGAACTGGCATTTTATCAACTCTAGCGCTGGTCTCTTGGTTGGACATCAGCGTTTGGCTTCGTACTTTGAACTCTTTCCTAAAGAAGATTGGGATCACAAGAAGAATATGACCACACGGGCCGCCCGTCAAGCCATGGAAGCACGCACGAGAAATCGTCGTCTCATCACAACGAACTCAGGGCTCCTTGGTTTGGCTCCTGTTCTTACTCAGCCAGGTGATGCTGTGATGGTATTGATCGGGCATGGGAGACCTGTCATTGCTCGAAGAGTCAAGGATGACTTTGGAGAAGATACGCCATTGTGGAGATTGATCGGCGAGGCATTTGTCAATGGCATGATGGAGTGGGAGATGATGGATCGTGACATTATGTCAGGTCCCAAGAAGATCAAGCAGATCAACTTTATATGAGGTATTTAGGAGCGCTAAAAGCCTGAAATAATACCTGTGTCTCTTGCCTAACTGATTTATTTTGTCTATTTCAAGCCCTTGACACTTTCGTGTTCGAAAGACTACAGCGAAAAGCCTGGCTTAGGAGGAATGGTACTCGGCTTCAGGACATAAATTTGACAACCAGGAACCGTTATAGATGATTCACGTCGCAGAATGTGTCATAATGTATTTCAGAGATAGATCATTTCAAGGTGAATAAGGAGTGGTGAGGCTGTACTGAACCATAGTCTGGCCTTGCCAGAAGTGGAAGGCAATTGAATGTAACTAGGCAGTTTAGATGGTTCGCTTGAGAATGTCTTTGGATACTTCCATTTCAAAGCCTGATTCGCATCATCCTCTTATCAGGTTGTAACAGTGACCATCACTATTGGTTCATCGCCCCCGGTTGGTGGTGGCGGTGCCCTGCTTCAGCTTCTAGCTCCATGCAGTATTATCAAAGTACACCAGCGCTTATGACCAGCTCCCGTGTCTCCCGCATCGTGGCGCACCCTTTCCAAGGTGGTGCCACTGGCAGCATATAAACCACAACTTCCCACCCACACGCAAAACGATTCTTTTTCCAACTAGGTCACCATGAACCACTCGAATAGTAGCTCGCGAACATGCAATGCCATAAGCTGCGATTTCAATGATCCTTATCTTGGCCTCCATCTTCCTGCTCCCGACTCTCGGATTCGCGGGTGCTTCTTCTACAACTGGCTGGGTTTCCGAGCCTAACGGCCGAGGCACCTTCGGACTGATCTGCTCTTGCGTTCTCACGCTTACAATATGTGTTTGGACGGCCCTCCATCTCAACGTTCCCGCCGCACGCTCCACCGTCCGGGGCCGGGCACTAGAAGGGACGAAGTGGGTACTCTACGGCATCTTCGCACCGGAGCTCGTCGTCGCGACGGCGGCCTCGCAATACATTGTCGCGCGATGGCTGAAGAGGGAAATCGAGAAGGATGCTGCTCATCGCCAGAGTTTAGTAGCGAAAGAAGATGGGGCACAGGGAAGAGACGACCGGAGGTTTTCAAGGCATACGTGGGATATGACACAGTGCTTTTACGCCGTCATGGGAGGCTTTGTTGTCGACTTGTCCGCTGCTGATGACGAAGAACATGGAACCGAGAGGGTTACCGTCACACCGGAGGGTATTCGACTACTTTCATTCATCGGCAAGCTGCCTAGTATCCATGAATCGCAGATCCAGGACAAAAGTAAAGCAGATTGGATGGCCAAGTCTATCGTTTGCATCCAGGCTGGATGGATGGTCGCCCAAGTTATCGGCCGCCTCATCAAAAGGCTTCCCGTATCGCTGCTAGAGATCAACACTTGCGGACACGTCGCATGCGCCGTGCTTCTCTATCTACTCTGGTGGAGTAAGCCCCTTGATGTTCTGGATCCAACCATACTGGAGGAAGGCAATAAGAACGTTTTGTCGCTCATGGCATTGTGTTCATCCATGAGCGCTACCAATGGTGTAACCGACATTCGATGCTTCATGTATATGCCGGAAGAAGGAGGGAGTCGAGAAGGGAGTCGAGACCAACGCGCTGCTAAGGTTCTCATCACGACGCATTTATCCATCGGGTCACCAGGCACTAGAGAGCCCTCCAGATTTCTCGGTTTTGATGTAAGTGATCTCCGACCTCAGATATCACCGGCAGCCGTCAAAATCCAGAGACAGAGGGTACCACGGAGCGCGTACATGTATCATATTGATCAGTCCAAACCTACAGTTGCGCCTGAGTGCCTACAAACGTACTTCGCGCACCCATACACCGGAATTAATCTACGCCACGGTACCATCTACTGCCGACGACTTTTCGATGATGTCCAAAAGCATCAGGAGTCCCATAGACCCGTCAGTCCAATTTATCTGGCGCAGGCAGCAACAGCCGCAGACGCCATTTGGGCCGAATGTGTCATCCGTCCAGCATACGCCCCGTACTACTTCACCTCTGTTCCGACTGTGGGCGTCTTCCTCGGGGAGACGGACTACCTCATGTCTCACATCGTCAACTTCCCCTCCTTGTCCAATCTCGGTCTCGGCCAGGTCAATATTCATCGCGATGTCCTGCGCTCGGTACTCGCTCTCACTGCGGCAGCGTACGGTGGGCTACATCTGTCTGGCTGGTTCGATCACTTCCCAACGCAGATCGAACGGAAGCTGTGGCTTATTGCGTCTCTGGTGATTGCATGCTCCGGGGTTGCACTGTGGATCTTCTTCCTTGCGCGGCAAGTCTGGCCGTGGTTCGATGTTTTCGTTTCTGGGGCAGCACCAGGGGCTCGACTGACCGGTGCAAATTATCAGAAGCCATGGATGAAGAGAGCGAAATCAGTGGTCCTCGTTTCCATTCTGGTTGTGTTTGTAGCAGCAAGGGTTTTCTTGGTTGTCGAGGCGTTTATTAATCTTCGAGAAGCTCCTTCGGCACTATATGAAACCCCAGAGTGGTCTGACTTTTTCCCGCATTTTTAGTCACAGAATTATCGATACATATGCACGTTTCTTATACGTAGCTCTCTCTTGTGGCTTTTCAAATCTCGTTTGTTCTTTTTCTTTCTTCTCTCTTTCATATAATGCCTGTGTCAAGTTCAAGGCGCCCTTTTTTGTTGCTCGAATTCTATTCAGTTATTCACTCAACTCGATAAATCGGAGTCGAATATTCTCGAGAAGAAAGTTAATAATGGTCCTTATTGCTAAGACTAGTTATCTAATTTAAGAATTCCAAAAACTCTTATCCAAAAGGTAGTTTGATTCCGGCCACACAAAGCATTTCCTTAGCCAATGAGGAGGAGAAGAGCCCAGATCATGGAGCTTCAGAGCTCCAGAGCTCTGAAGCCAAGAGGTCAGAAGGCGCAGATGCATGAGAGAGGTAGAAACACGGAAGCGCGCGAACATGTCTCAGCGAGTTTGCACTAGCACGAACACCCTGACATCTTCTCCGAGGGACCTGAAGATTTAGAGGCCCGCCTATTGGTGGTATAACTGTGCTTTGGGGTTGATGGAATGAAGTGTGTGGAGAGCGACCCACATGCGCGGGAGACGGGCGATTACTCAGGTCCAGGTAGGGGCGGCTGGTGCCTAGTATAGGATATGATGCCTGCCAGATCTGGAAGTCAACCAAGATCTTCCTGTACATGTCTTTGGCCGATAGGTCGGTGTATGGGGCTCGCTACAGTTACGACCCGCAGAGAAACAAGTATACAGGACACCAAGTTCAGAGTTCCATAGGAAAGCATTCGAATTTCCAACAACGTTGCAAAAGGCTGGTCAGACGGAACAGAATTCATCAACAAATTCAACGACCAAAGGTCTTTCATTTCTAACCAGGAATAAAGTAGGAGCTGGATCGGCTATGACAAGAGAATCAGTCGGTAAATTCATCGCTTGTGCGTGCGTGGAGAAAAGTGAAGCCGGATTGGCCGAACATATCAAAATTTGAAACCACGGAAGACGACTGGAAGATATTTGGAAGACGTTTGAGGAGCCACAAGCCGTAGCGAGATCCGCACAAGGCAGTAGTACTAATCCTCACATATACGCAAAGAGAACGTTTATTCTGGTGATAGCTACCAGGGGTAGATCTTATACTGTATTAGATTGAGAAAACTGCCTGTATAGGCCTGCGGCGATTGTCACACGCGTAAGTGAGAGCCTGACTATAGACTTTGGGTATCTTCTGATGCCAAGGTAGCTCTGTAAATAAGATAGGAAAAGCATTATGAGTGGTCTGTGGGGTGTAAATGAGAGTATGCGCTGATTGTAGCGTCTCGCCCCTCAGGGCTTGAACTTCCAGCCCTCGATTAGTCGAGCGATCTTGATATGATCCTTTTGCCTTGCAAGCCCGGCGGCAGTACCCTGGCGGTAAGGGCCTTTCTTCTTGTAGTCTTGGAGTGTCTCAAAGACGGCACTCGCATGAACCACTCTTGCGCCCCGCTGCAGCAGGAGCTTCACTGTTGCATCGTGGCCCTTCAAAGCCGCGTAATGAAGTGGTGTCGCGCCATAGTGATCACGCTCGCGGATGTCGAGACCGAGCTCTATCAGGAGCTTCATCATAGCGGGCTCGGCAGTGCCAAAAAACAGCAGATTCGCGCCCGACGCTGACCGGACTCTTAAATAAGCACCGGCAGTTATGAGCAGGCGGACGGTAGGAATATGGCCCGCCTTCACGGCGGAGAAGAGCGGCGTGAAGCCAGGCCAGGTTCGGGTGTCTAGGTCAACGCCGGCGTTGATCATGGCGACGAGGACATCGTTTTGTCCATAGTGAGCTGCCAGATGCACCGGCGTCATGCTGGCGTTTCGTAATAAAGGGGTAGTGAGGTCCGCACCCCCTCGGATGAGAGCTATTGCGATACGGGTGTTGCCGGCCTTGAGCGCCTGGCAGATGATCCGTTCCGCTCGGGGTGCGGAGTGGTCGACGTCTGCGCCGACTTCAATTAGGAACTGCGCCGCCTCGAAACACCCCAAGCGCATAGCGATTGTGAGGGGCGTCTCGCCGTGTTCGGTCGTAGGGTCTATCGGGGAACCGGCCTTGAACAGAAGCTGCAGCACCTCGACTCGGTTCTTATGAGCCGCCATGTGAATCGGTAGATATCCCTCACTGCCAACGGCATCATATTTGGCTCCTCGGGAGAGTAAAAGTTTCATGGTGCGCAGGTCTCCTGCTGCGGCTGCGGCGAGAAGCGGGAAGTTGCCTTTTGAACTGGACAAGTCGATATCGGCACCGGCCTCGATCAGCACCTCCGCGATATCGGGACACGCCGTGGCTATTGCATATGTCAAGGCAGTGTGTTCGTTGACTCGTCGATCGAGGTAAGCGCCTTGGTCTGAAAGGAACTCCGTCATGGGACTACTCTTCATGGATATGGCGACATGAAGCGCCGTCCGGCCATTCTGCAGACGGGTCTCTAGGTCTGCTCCGTACTCGAGCAGCTTCTCAATGGCATTGAACCTGTAGTTCTGAACCGCTGCTATCAGAGGCGTTCGGGTCCCCAAGTCTCTGCGGTCGAAGTCGGCTCCAGCGTGTACAAGAACAGCGAGAGTGTCGTCTTCACTAGCTGACACGGCGGCATGGTGAACAGCCGAGCACCCCAACTTGTCGACGGCATTGACGTTCGCACCAAGTTCGCATAACAGCGCAATGATCTTGTCAGAGTACCTGTACTTGACGGCGGTGATTAGGATTGTCTCGTCATGATCGCCGCGGTCCTCCAGGTCTGCACCAGCCATAGCCAGAAATGTCACAAGGGATGGGATTTGGCGGTTGAGAGCTCGGCGTAAAGGCGAAAGCTTCGAGCCGAGTCGGGGTGCAGTTGGATCGATTCGTTGTAGTAGCAGCTTCACCACAGCAGCTTCATCTCCGCGGTCAATGGCGTCGTGTAAGTCCTTGGTCATTCGCACATTTTGCTGGTAAAGTGTGCCCGGCGGCGGCTTGAGTCGCTTCAAGGCTGAGTGAACCTCAGAGAGGTCACTGACGGGACAAGCATCCGGCCGCGGGCGAGGACCAATGGTTGATAGGCGCAATCGGCTGCCTTTGTTGAGCACCGCTGGGCTTATAGCGCAGTCCCATGAGACTAGACGAGATGAGTGCATAAAAGTAGAGTGATTTTTGGAAGTAACATGTTCGCTGAGTCTGTAATGTAAGCACAAGACGATAAACAAGCCACTCACGACTGACCTTGGGACACAATTAAGGAGAAAGGCAAGAGATTGACGACTGGTTTTGATCTGATGTAAAATTTGTTTTAGAGAATCTTCGTTCCAAATGATGGTGATGTGACCCGACGACATGTCGACAGTGCTGTCGCTTGTCGCAGGGCGAATACGTGTGCTGCAGACGTCCAGCGACGATAAACTGGTCGAAATCGAGTGCAAGGCGTCATGACAGGATTGATCGAGAAGAACAGGGTCAAAGACCAATGTTTCCGGGATTGTGTCGCGGAGGTACTTGAACCGGCGCAAAGCATCCGTGACGGCACGGCATTCCTTGGCCACAGCAGCCAACGTGACCGGCGCCGTGTTAAGGCTATTGGCCATAAGAGCGAACCGGTCAGTAAGGAGCTGCGATGTTCGTATCAAATCGGCCAGGCCAGCGCCGGGCAGACGTCCCGGGGAGTCCATGGCCGGACACATCAGCAGGCGGAGGCATGAGTGCAAAACGGCATCAAGATCAGGGTGACAAATCCAACAAAGTTCGAGAGGAAGATCAGTCTTTTAGGTTGGGTGGGAGAAGAAAATATGGATAATGTTGCTGCGCGAGCCCAGGGGATCCAGACTGGCGACGACCCAGGCTCCTCTCATGAGCCAACACGAAACGGCGCGCTCCCGATAGGGTAGTCGGCGCGATACTAAACAGGGGCAACTATTGAGAAGGCAAATTTGGCGAGATGAACCACAGGTAAGCCCAGCAGCAGCCTGGAGACCCGTCAAGTCATGTTGGCGAAACTAGCGCGAGATCGTGATGCCATCCCCCGGAAAGCGTATCCAGATTCTTGGTCGAAGGACAGAAAAAGAAAACGGATAGAAAAGGAAGCCACAAGTCTGTGCCGATTCTTCAAACGGCATATTGAGATCAACGCGAGGTCGTGGTTGGCTCACTGTGGGTAAAACATAACTTGACTCCATAACCATGGTAGGGATGTGATGAACAGACCAGACCGAAAGAGGGTGTAAAGCTACTTTGAGTAGGATTGTTGTCTGTGTGTTGTTCAGGGGTGGTTGAGACCAGGACACACACGGTTGACGCTTGTCAAGCTTGTCAAGTGACGGAGTGGCGACGGGAGTTCCTGACATAACCGTGGGCTGCGAGGAATCGAGTTCATTTGTGGCTTCTGGGACTATCGAAAATGACCATAGGTCGCTTGAATCAATGCTCGCGTGGTTCGCGGAGGCGGAAAGGGTTTGGTCAAAGCGGCAACACGTGGGAGGGAAGCGAAGAGAGACACAGCAGACTGGCTGGTGATCCCTGGAAATCCACGTTGATGCTTGGGCCACCGGTGTCTGGGGCCGCGCCCGGCAGGCGCGGACCAGTGAGACTCGGGCCTTGTGTCCCGCTCCGATGATCTTCCGAGGACTATCCACTTTACCTGACTGTTCTGGCACACCATTGGCTGCACGGTCGAGACCAGTCGGAGCTCATCCATCAGCCCACCATAGTAGTAGTACCCAGGCATTCCATGCCCCAAGCTGGAGCTTGCCATACAGTACAGCTCTCCGTCGACGTAATCGAGTTTGCCGTGGTCATCACTCTGAATACCATTTCGAATTCTCACAAAACTCGACGCCCACTAGTCGCAAAATTCGTCCCTGGAACATTCAAGAACTGTAGCCAAAGTTTCGAGCAACATCAGTCAACCTGGCGGGCATACTCTGGAAGAAAGAGTCGTCATCCGTGGCGGCCGGCGCAAAACCCTCGAATCCTCTCCTCGGCGACATCATGACCCAACCGCCGCCCCAACCGCACCTAACGCCACAATTCTGTTTCTCGACAGGATCGCTGAGAGGTTCGTCTCCCGGGCTCGTCCACTCATCTGGAAGATGGCATCTATCTGACACGTCGTACTAGACTTTCTTAGGCTATCCCGTGCCAGCATCGACGACTCAATAACCCAAAACCTCAACGCGCTAGTGACACCTGCTCGAGCCGGGTTCGACCCCGCGTCAACAGCACAACGGACACCGCGCGCATTCCCACGACAGATAGACCCCCAGGCGTGCCAGAATTTCAAGGACCAGACGCTGTTCCCAACATGGCATGCTCGCGCAGAGGTCCTGCACTACTGTGGGGTTGTTGCAACTAGTCCTGACCCCGACGATCCGGAGGCTCTGCTGCGACAGATCGAGCAGACCAAGGACAAGGAGCGGGTGGTTGATGAGCGTCTGGACCCCTATTCGGCGAGGTTCTTCCCACGGGAGCCCCGGACGGAGCAGCTGGCGATGCTCATACGACAGGAGAAAGGCGTCGAGAACATTGTCCGGACGCGGACCTGGGGTATGGTCAAGCAGAGATGCGGCGAGTCCGTGGACACATGGGAAGACGCTCTAGAGGGTTGGCGACGGAGGACCGGCGTGAAGGGAGACGAATGATGAAGCCCGGCTTGATGTCCTGGGTGGAGCTGCAGAGCTCCATGTATTGACTATACATTGTGTACCAACACTGTAACACAAACCGCCAGATGAATAATGATAGACGTCAGAGAATCGTCGAAGTAATTCCACTACAAATCATAACCGTTTCGGGACCGGTGCTTCGATGTACGAACTTGCAAGTTTCGCTCAGGAACATTGAACTTCCTGGAAGAAGGAGAAAAGGAGCAGAAAACGACGATACAGCTGTGCCACAGGTTGGCGACCGTGTCTCTGGTTCAACTGCTTTGCTGCAACATGACGATCTCAGCCAACCCAGAAATGTACCCGTACCCCCGCCAAAACCAGCTTCCCAGTGTAAGAGTGGAACGTGCGCGCATGCTGTGAAAAGCGGACGGGGCCATTCCAGTGGCTTTGCCCCACCATCAGCCCGCCGTGCTGCCGGACGGTGCGCTCAGTTCTCACTCAGCAAATGGGCGGTCGCTGAAAGCCCGAAGCTTGGAAGCCCGAGAGCCCCCCCCAGCCTTGGAACATCTGTGTGGCCGAAAGCACCAAGTTTCTCCAACTTCAATTCCACTCCGTTGTGAACACTGCAGCTCCGATTGTGGACTCACGTCTCGACACACCTTTCACCAACATCCCACGCCACCTCTCCCCTCGACAAGGCACGAGACTCGGTCCCTGACACAACCGACCTCTGCTTTTTGCATCGCGCCCGACGATCCCATCCTCTTTCCTCGTCGACGGCCGCTCGGTCACACGACTGCAGCTACCCCTCCTTGAAGACCCCTCCGGACACAGGTGCTGCGAATCAGCCTTCCGAAAGACTTTTTGCATCTCTGGCGCCCCCCCAAAATCGCCTCAGCCTTGCCCAACTCTGCCCCTTCTCGACGGGCCGCACCTCTTTCCACACTAGTGCCGGTGGCTCGATCTCCGGCTCAACACAAACCCGATGCCGCAACCTCTCAACTCGAAAGAGGCTTCCCTCTTTCGAGCCGTCATCCGCGCCTATGAGGACAAGCAGTACAAGCGCGGCCTCAAGTCCGCCGACCTGATTCTCAAGAAGAACCCCAAGCATGGCGACACCATGGCCATGAAGGCCCTCATCATGAATGCACAGGGCAAGACCGAGGAGGCCTTTGCGCTGGGCAAGGAGGCTTTGACGGTCGACATGAAGTCGCACATCTGCTGGCACGTCTACGGCCTGCTGTACCGCGCCAACAAGAACTTCGAGGAGGCCATCAAAGCGTACAAGTTTGCTTTGAAGCTCGAGCCTGAGTCGACCCAGATCCAGCGGGACTTGGCCATTCTCCAGGTACAGATGCGCGATTATGCCGGATACATCCAGAGCCGCACAGCCATGCTGCAGGCGCGCCCCCAGCTGCGCCAGAGCTGGACTGCGCTGGCCATCGCCCATCACCTTGCGGGTGACTTGTCCGCGGCCGAGAACGTCCTTACCACCTACGAGGGTACGCTGAAGTCCACGCCTTCCCGGGGAGATTACGAGAACTCCGAAGCCGTCATGTACAAGAATACCATTATCGCAGAGCAGGGTGATTATCAAAGGGCCCTCGAGCACCTCGAGACCGCCGCCAAGCACAGCCTCGACAGACTCGAATTCTTGGAGCTGCGTGCCCAGTACTTGGTCAAGTTGGGCAAGAAGGAGGAGGCCGTCGCCGCATGGGAGGCTCTTGTTGAGCGCAACGCCGACCGCCCTGCCTATTTTGAGGGCCTTGAGAGCGCTCACGCCTTCGCCGAGAGCGACCAAGATGCCAGAAAGGCAATCTACGACACATATGCCAAGAAGTTCCCCCGCTCAGATGCGCCTCGTCGTTTGCCCCTGAACTTCTTGTCTGGTAAGTCTGCCTGTGGCTACATGGTGTGCAATCGCTAACCCATCCAGGCGATGCTTTCCGCACTGCGGCTCAGGAGTACCTGACGCTTATGTTCAACAAGGGGGTTCCGTCAACATTCGCTAACCTGAAGCATCTTTACTCGGACTCTTCAAAGAAGGAGACTTTGGAGGCTTTGGCTCAGGAGTATCTGAAGTCTCAAGCCTCCAGCTCGGAATCCACCAATGGCGACCGCTCAAAGGGCGAGGCCGCTGCTCTCTATTTCCTCGCCCAACACTATAACTACCACCTGAGTCGCGATTTGGCCAAGGCTCACGAGTACGTCGACAAGGCTATCGAGAAGGTCCCCGATAGCGTCGACTTCACCATGACTAAGGCCAGGATATGGAAGCACCAGGGTAACCTTCGAAAGGCTTCGGAGACCATGGATAAGGCCCGCACTTTGGATACCCGGGACCGCTACATCAACACCAAGGCCGCCAAGTACCAGCTACGGAACAACGAGAACGACAAGGCGCTGAAGACCGTCGGTCTCTTTACCAGGGCAGACACCGTCGGCGGCCCCCTTGCTGATCTCCTGGACATGCAGTGTGTCTGGTACCTGACAGAGGAGGGTGAGGCGTGTTCCAGGCAGGGCGATGACGCCTTGGCGCTCAAGCGGTTCCACACCATCCATAACATCTTCGATGTCTGGCAAGAAGACCAGTTCGACTTCCACAGCTTCTCTCTTAGAAAGGGCCAAATCCGGGCCTATGTTGACATGGTTCGGTGGGAGGACCACCTTCGCGACCACCCCTTTTACTCGAGAGCCGCGTTGGACGCCGTCGCCATCTACCTCAAGCGCGCCGACCGTCCCTCGGCGAACGGTGTCAACGGTGATGCCAACGGTGACGACGCTTCTGAGAGGAAGAAGGCCGCCAAGAAGGCCAAGAAGGAGCAGCAGCGTCTGGAGCGGGAAGCTGCCGACCGCGCGTCCAAGCAGGACCCCAACAAGGGCAAGCCTAGCGAAGAGCCGAAGAAGAAGGACGAGGATCCCCTTGGCCTCAAGCTCCTGGATGCCGAGCCCCTCGGTGCCGCCATGCGTTTCGTCGCCCCTCTGCTGCAGTTCAGCCCTAAGAACATCCAGGCCCAGTTTGCCGGCTTCGACGTTTACCTGCGCAGGAGTAAGTGTCTACAATTTCTCATCACCCTTATAGTGCTAATAGATTTCCAGAGAAGTACGTTCTTGCGCTGCGTTGCCTCAACGCTGCTCGCGAACTGGACGAGTCTCACCCCGGGGTCCACGAGCGTGTCGTCGAGTTCGCTCACGTCGTCCGCCCTGCCCTTGAGAGCCTGCCGGCGAAGGTGCAGGAGCTCATCAAGTCCGAGTTTACCCCCCCTGCTGGTGACCTGAAGAAATACAACGAGGAGTACTTGTCGAACAACAAGTCCAAGCCCTCCCACGTCGTCGCCGCGCTCAAGACTCGGAGAGTGCTGGGCGAGGACCGGTCCAAGGCCGAAACGGATCTCGCCAACGTCGTGAAGGCGCCTGACGCCACATTTGAGCTTGCCACCGAAGTCTACGACATCCTCAAGGCATGGAGAAGCCACGAGGTCGAGACCCTCAAGAAGGCGGCGCATGAGCGATGGCCCGAGGTGACCGTCTTTGCTTAGGAGAAAAGAGTCGTCTCATTGTCACCATTCCGGAGGATCATGAACCGGTTCAAGCTGGTCTGAGCTAAACCGAGTTCAGTATTGCGATGTTTTACAGTCCAAATACCCGAACATTTGAACCGTCCCAATTGGTCATGGGCGGATATTGTCCCTCGACGAGGGGGAAGCCAGGGCTGGGAAAGGGTCGGGCGTGGGCATGTGTTATGGCATCTGCCCGGACGAGGATATAGGCATCAAAAAGTTGTGATAGAAGAGGACTACAAAAAGCTTATGAGAGACTCCATATTCCGTCGGAGCTGCCGCGCGCGTCGAGGCGTCTTTTTCAGTGTTGCATCTGTATCAATGGCCGTGATATCATCTCATCCCAACACCGGTGAACCGCCCCCCCTTTTTTTAAAAAAAAATATTTCGGCCTTGCAATTAATCACACATTCCTTCACTGGTCGAATCCGTTTGTAACGTCGACAAACGCCCTCCACTGCTTCCAGGCCTCACCGCTCTTGACAGCCCAGCGCGCCCTCCGCACGCCTTCCTTCCATCGTCCTCCGCCAGGTCCCCTTTCGGTGATGACCTGGCCGTCGTCGCCGGGGCCCATGTTGCTCGTCTCCGCCTCGCAGATACCCGAGGCCACGAACAGCGTCGCCGTGTTCATCAGCACGAACTCCAGAATGGGGTCGTTGTCGGCCAACTCGCCCTCCAATATCCTCCTCAGAATCTCGGCGTTCTCGGAGGGCTCCTTGCCCGGCGATACGGTGTTGAGGGGGTGCGTGCCCAGGCCAAAGTCGCTCGGCTGCACCCTGAAGTGGTCCGAGACGACGTCGCCCTCGGCATTCTCGCTCAGCCTCCACACTAGCGTCGGCCCGGCGCAGCTGACCTCGTCCAGCTCCTCCTCGCCGCAAATGATCATGGCCTTCTTGGAGCCGCCGATCTTGAGGGCCTCGAGGAAGACGGGGCCGAGCTCCTTCCTCGCGACGCCGATGACGCGGGCCTCGAGGATGTCCTCGACTGGGTTCGCCAGCGGACCCAGGAGGTTGAAGATTGTCCGCCAGGGCAGCTCCTTGCGGATGGGCGCGACGTAGCGCATGCCCGGGTGGAAGACGGGGGCGAAGAGGAAGCCGTAGTTGGTGGCCGAGTAGACGCGGGAGAGGGTGGCCGGCGAGACGGCCATGAGCACGGGCGGGCGGGGCTGCATGTTGTTGACGAGATCGGCGGAACCGGACTTTGAGGTGCTCGCGCGGTTGCCGTGCTTGGCCACGAGCAGCAGGGAGCTGGCGAGGATGCTGGACGTGGTGCTGATGTTGAAGGTGTTGTGCGAGTCGCCGCCCGTGCCGACAATGTCACACAGCCCGCCGCCGTAGGCACCGGCGGCCAGCGCCTTTTGCCTTACGACGCGGCCGAGGTCGTCAAAGTCGACCTTTGCGGCGGCGCGGCGCATGACGTGGGCGGAGCGGGCCATGACGTCGGCGCGGCGGTCGAGGTTGGTGAAGTGCAGGGCGATGAGGAGAGAGGCGGCCTGGGCGTCGGAGACCTGGTGGGTGAAGAAGTGGGAGATGGCCTCGGCGATCTCGTCCGGGGTCACATTGACGCCGGCGTCCGGGACGGGCCAGAGTTTCTTGAGGAGCGGCTTGATGTCGATGAGCGGGAGGGCGCCGTCGGACCCCGCGACCGGAGGTTGAGAGGCCATGGTGGGGGTTGTTATCTGGCTCCTGTCGTTCCTGGCGTGCTTTTTTTTTTTTCCCTTTGGTGAGGATGTACGAGATTTGTAGTCGGAAAGTCTCGAGACGGGGTTAATTGACCGGGATATAGGCAGTGAAGATGCCAGATTTGCGTCACCGAGGACAATGCGTTGTGAGTCAAAAAGTTCACGAACAATGAGAGAGATTGTGAATGAGTGAGTGCCGTCCTGACGAGCTGTGCCCGATACCTGGGGGCACCGGGGTACGTATCCTAGACCACCCGGTGCGGCCCACGGCTGATTGGTCAATTATTGCCTGATTAAGACGGCACGGGGGGAGCTCATTGGCTGGGAGGCGGTGGGATAGGCGTCGCCTCAATGCTGGCCGTCGCCAGTTAGGGAATCTCCGCTCCCGTCTGTGGACTTGGATTTGGATTTGGGGATGGAGGAAAGGATGGGGATTAGCGACCGATGGCGCCGAATGCCATTCTTCATCAGACAATTGCAATTCGGGCGCCAGGCGCCTCCCGTTTTGCTAGTTCGACGTGGGGATGGCATCTTCCCTCCTCCTGCCTCCGCATTCTGCCTACTTTCCGACGATGTGACATTGCCCGGATCGCCTCAGATTCCAGTTCAGGTCCAATTGTCTACGTGCCCCGGATCCAACGGGGGACAATGGCATTGTCACTTCCCTCCCGTTCATCCAAGTGGTGTGCTGATTCTCTCTGGGCTTGCTTTGCGTTCCATGCAATGCAAAGCGGCGGTCGGACCGGGAGCATGATTGCCTGGCGGTGTCCGCTCGTCGTCCGAACGATAGACTCGCCAAAGGCATTTGGCCTCTCTCGCGATGCATGCGATTCTTCCCCAGAAAAACATAAAGTATGACATCAACCTGGCAGATAGACGGGCTCAGGGGCTCACGACAGAGGCCCGGCCGCGGAAGCCCGGGCAAATGTCTGGCGTGGCCTCAAACATCCTCTTTTGGTCGTCCCCGGTTCCTGGCCGTGTCTTACTCACACCATCAACAAGGGGGATTGACAGCCGCGACAGCCAGCAAGTCACTACACGGACCGAACAGGTTGTATCGCTGATGCCCCCTTCCAACCGCAGCCATCCCCAGATAAGGTGTGTACGCGAACCTTGTCTTTTCGTTGATGGAGGGTGTCGTACCCCATATCCCCTCGTCTCCCGGCACCTCTCTCCCTCATCAACCTAGCCTTGAAAGTTTCATGGTAGCAGTCTAGAAGCCATCGTTTACTTAGACCTTACACCAAGCATGCATCTAGCTGTGTCAGTCCTCCCCGGCTTTGCCCACTCGGCACGCAACTGCATCAACTCTGACGGCTCTCGCGGTCAGGCGGTCGCTACTGGTGCCCGCTACGGGTGCCCGCGGACCCCTCGCATTAGGGTCAGTTGGACGGCCTGCAGCAGTGCAGCGCGCATCCGTGCCTGTGTCCGGGCTTATCGCAGGCCCGCTATCAATGCCCGTCGTAACGCGGTACATGTTCCTAACCCAGTCGGTGGCCTGCGGACCAAGTATCCCTCTATCTGTTCCTCGGTGTCAATCTCCGATCCATCCGCGGGCCACTTACGAGGGAGACCGTGCCATCCACGTCCACATCCTGCACCGAGGAATGTGACGGTCGCCGTAGTGTGTCCTCACTTGTCTACGATGGGCCTCGGGACGTGCTCCCTTCTGACCTCCTCCTCCTCCTCCGCCTCGAACTATTCCTATTCCTATCCTGCTCGCTCCTGCACCCTTCTTCCTTGTCCGGCTTGGTGCGATAGCTCAACCTGACCCAGCTTCTCTTTCTATCTCTTCACAGCCGCCTGAGGAAAAGAAACCCCCGCGATAGCAAGGAAGAGCCGACGGCAGAATCGAGCGAGGCCGCCATCCCCCCCCCATAAAAAAAGGTCGACAAGTGACAAACAATGTCTCGTCGCGGCTTCTGCTAACGTCGACCGGTTCCCTTTTTCTAACCCTCTCCTGCCTACCTTCACTCACCGAACGAGGTTTCTTCTTGTCTCGACGGGTCGATCCTCCTGTCCCCTCCCTCTCTTCTCCGCCTGTCGCTTATCCCATCATCACCTTAATACCCCAATCTCGTAGACGAACACGAACCATTATCCTGATCCTCAACGTATTTTACCAATTTGTCGCGAGAAACGCCTCCCATCGCACGCCCATCGTAGTATGTGAACTGCCTGACGCAGCCTTCTCGAGATACCTCCCAAAATGGCCCACGTCCCCGAAAACAACAACGCGGCCCCGGCCGTGACCGAGTCCATCTCCGAGTCCTCTCAGTCGTACGGCAAGCCTGCCTCACAGAACGGCCCCCTCGAGACGGTCAAGGTCGACGGCAACAAGTCCCTGACCTTGACTGCTGAGAACCTCCTTTTGAATGGTGTGTTGGAACCCACAAGCTCTGCCGTTTGCGATGCACTCGGGTAGCTGACCCTTCCAAGACCCTACAGCAAAGAAAGCCAATAGAACTTGCGGTTTTGCTGGGTTTGGCGCATCAGGTCCGCCCTCACGACACCCATGCCTGACCCCCTGCCTCGACTTGCTAACACCGTACGCAACAGCGGCGCCAGCCACGCACACGATCCCCTTGTACAACGTCCTGTGGGCCGAGCAAACGGACGAGACCCTCGTGATCGACTATGCCAAGCAGGTTACGAAGAATAGAATCCAGGCCGCGAAGTGGACCTTTCGCGTCAACGGAGCCGACAGCCCCGACATCCAGGCATGGGTCGACACGCTCATGACCAAGGCGTACGGACCCTCGAAGCGATGCAAGAGAGCCAAGGTTCTGGTCAACCCGCACGCGGGGCCGGGAGGCGCGGAGAAGAAGTGGCGCCTCGACTGCGAGCCTCTCTTCAAGGCCGCGCGCATGCCCATGGACGTCGAGCTGACGACCTTCTCGGGTCAGGCTCTGGAGATAGCGCGGAACGTCGACCTCGACGCGTTCGACACCATTGTCACTTGCTCGGGCGACGGCCTGGCTCACGAGGTCTTTAACGGTTTGGGCCAGCGGCCGGACGCGGCGCAGGCGCTCCAGAAGATTGCTGTTTCGCACATCCCCTGCGGTTCGGGCAACGCCATGAGCCTCAACCTCTACGGCTCGCACCGTCCGTCGATCGCCGCTCTCGCCCTCATCAAGGGCGTCGAAACCCCAATGGACCTGATCAGCATCACGCAAGGGGACAAACGAACGCTCAGCTTCTTGAGCCAGGCGCTTGGCGTTGTGGCCGAGAGTGACCTAGCCACCGAGCACCTGCGGTGGATGGGCGGTGCGCGTTTCACGTGGGGATTCCTCGTGAGGATATTCGAGAAGAAGTGCTATCCGTGCGACCTTGCCGTCAAGGTCGAAATCGAGGATAAGCCCGGCGTCAAGGAGCACTACAGGCAGTACACACACAAGGCCTCTTCGACAAGCCTGGGTACCGCCGAGGCTCCAAGGGCGGAGAACGCTGACGCCATCCCGAGTCCAAATGCTGGGGCGCAAGGCCTGCCACCTTTGAGATATGGCACTATCAACGACGACCTACCTGAGGGTTGGGAGCTGATACCCCATGACAAGATGGGCAACTTTTACTGCGGAAATGTAGGTTTTGCCACATGCTTCAGATGAGATGATTGCTGACGGGCTCCAGATGGCGTACATGGCCGCTGATGCCAACTTCTTCACGGCGGCGCTCGCCAACGACGGCCTCATGGACCTCGTTTGCATCAACGGAGACATGTCCGTCTCCGCGCAGCTCAACATGCTCCTGTCCGTGGAGAGCGGCAAGTTCTTCGACAACTCTCTCGTTTCGTACCGCAAGATCTCGGCTTACCGCATCATCCCGCGGGACCAAAAGGACGGCTACATCAGTATCGACGGAGAGAAGGTGCCGTTCGCGCCGTTCCAGGCCGAGATCCACCAGGGTCTCGGCAAAGTCATCTCGAAGCGCGGCAAGTACGAGGCGCCTGGCCCCATGGGCTGGGAAAGGGGCAGGATTGGGGCCTAGGTGGTGACGGCCATATCCGCCCTAAACGACTCTACGTGGCTCTTTGGCGATTGGTACGAGAGGGCCTTGGAAAGGGGTTGAAGTAGCGTTTTGTTTCTTGGAAAAGTCGAGATACCCAGATAGACCAAGAGGGGAAGAGCGCAACCGTCGCCCGGCTGATTGCGTACATGCAGTCCCGGTTGGCACGAGACGAGCCATTGGTCATCATTGTATACTATAGAATAGCGTCGCACACATAATACTTGCTTCCATTCTTTTTGGTTCCCATCACCACCGTCCAAGAATCCCTAAATGCTTTTGGTAAAAGTGATGCCTCCCGTTCTAGAGAAAAACGAAAAAACAAAAGGCCAAGCAAATAAACGCCGCGTTCACCGTCCCATGCAAAGACATAAACAAGGAAGCCGCACAGTCTTCTTCTATTTATCGTCGATGCCGCCCCATTCGTCGTCGTCCTCGTCCATGGCGCCGTCCGCCGCCGGCGCCGCCGGCTCCCCGTCCGCCTCCTCGGCCTTGCTCTCCGTCCATGGCAGCCTCTCATCCTCAACGGCCTCGGCGGCCTTGGCGCGCACCGTCTTGACGGGCGACCTCTTGAGGGGCTCGACAATCTTGCTCAGCTTCCGCGCAAAGGCAACGGCCTTTTCGTCGTCGTCGCCCTTGAGCATCTGGAGGCGCTCGAGCTCGTCGACCCAGATGTCGACGCCGTGCAGCCTCAAGCCGACGGGGACCTTGCGCAGGTCGCCCTCGAGCTCAAAGGGGTACTCTGCGTAGACGGCCAGCAGGGCGTCAGCGCGGGCGTCGTCGTAGGCGCCGTCCTTGACCCACTGCAGGCCCGAGGCGAAGCTGCGCCTGACGAGGAGGAGGAACTTTTCCATGCGGAGGACGTCGATGTCGGTCCACTGGCGGGCCATGGTCTCCCAGAAGGCGGAGAGCCAGGTGGGCACGTCCTCGTTGCGGAGGCACGAGGTCAAGCTGGCGAGCTCGGCGGCGAGGTTCTGCTGGGGGACGGGGCGGTCGCACATCCACATTGCGTAGAAGAGGCCCTTCCAGAGCTTGAGGGCGTCGAGGCGCGTGAGGGAGCGGTGGGAGCCGAGGAAGGTTTGGAGGGAGGTCAGGGCCTGGGTTCGGAGCTTGCGGTCTGGGAGGGGAGGAGGTTAGTTTGGAAGCATTGGGGGGGAGAGAGAGGAGGGTTGGGGGGTTTGCGCCGCGCGAGGAAGACGGGCAGAGGGCGAGTATCGTGGGGGACGGACCGCTCGAGGCCAGGTTCTTTATGAACGGCATATTCTGTTCTTGGGACGCCATCTTGACAGTTTGTGCGGTGAGCAGCCGGGCGTTGCTCAATGGGGTATCTGGCGTCGTGGGTACGGAGGTTGTCTAAGGTCTCTCGCAGGGCCGGCGGTGCTGGAGATCGAGGCTGCAGGGTGGGATAAAATTATTGTTCACCGAGCGACCTGAAAAACTGCCCCGCCGATCCTCGGTGTGGGAGGGACGGGGGGCCCTTGGGCGGGCTCGATCGGGTGACCGCCTTTGAGGAATTGGGCCGGCTCCCGCCCTGTTCATGCAGGGGTGGCTGTGGCGTAGGAGTCGAGTTGGGATGGTGAGATGTGGCTGGTGGGGACTTTCCGGATTCCGGGATTCCACTTCGGAGCTGGTTTGGCGAGCTTGTGACTGGGTTGGATAGCTTCACCTTGTTCAGAATTTAGGATATTTGTAAAGTTGGAAGCAGTTGAAGTATCCAAGCCAATTCAGCGGGCAGCAGCAAAGGTTTGATATTGTTGCATCAGGATATGCTATTACTGAACAACATTCAGCTTCAGGCGTAAGACCTGTAGTGAGAGTGCATGTTGGTGTTTAACTAGTTGACTAACGTCACGGGTCAAGGAGACCTTCTCATTGTGTGGTATCAAAGCCACTGTGTTTCCACGAGTATTCTTTGATTCATTCCGAATGACTTCCAACACATAAACGTAAGAAACCTCTACGTCCGGCGTCGACGAGACCTTCTTGGGTGATGCGTAGCTCCCGCTGAGTAGCATCCAATTGATCCTGCAGGGCCTTCATGCACACCTTGGCAGCAGTGAGTCGCACCTCGAGCTGGCGGGCTAAACAGTTGCTGTGGACAACACGGATCCCAAGATCCTTGTTGTGCTTGAAAAGTTTGGCCTTGTAGGCCTGGTGCGAGTCTTTGAGGTTTATGGTCTGATTGTTGAGGTCGGCCTTCTTCATAGCGGCCTTCTTCATGGCCTCGCTCTTGGTCTCTGCGATGACCGCCGCAACAGCCTTGTCCACAGCCTTCTGAACGTCCTTCAAAGTGAAGAACATCTCATAGTCCTCAGTGTCCTTGATATCGGAGCTCTGCATTCTCTGGTGAGACATACGTCTTGAATATGAGGCAGTCGAAGGGAAGGGGGTGTGGCCTTTGTGTGGAACATGGAGGTTGACTTACCATAGCCGACTTGTTGCCGTTGCGGACCACTTTGCGTGATAGGGAGGTGGGTGGTCTGAGTGAAGGATGTGAATATCTTTGGTTTGCGTACAAAAAAACGTTAGAAAAGGGTTGTGCGGGAAGCAAGAAGTCTTTGGTATAGTGGTTCAGCGATTGCTACTCGCCCAAAGTAATGGGTGGTAGCTGAACTTGGCTGATTTTATAGACAGAAATCTGACAGACAAAGAAGGCTTACCAATGGAAGATGAAGCCAAGCAACGATTCAAAAGGCTCGACTGCTTAGGGCGTTGATGGTGGATTTGTCGAGACATGGTTTCGCGTTTGCTGTTCTTGTTGCTTGGTGGAAGACGCGGTAGGTGAGGTGAGGGGTTTCTGTCCAAGGTGAAGTGAGGTCCAGAGTTTAAAAGCCTAGCAACAAGCAACCCGTCTTTATTGGATCCCGGTGTTGTGGCACTCAGCATTCACTGCTGATGACTTTGGCAGTTGCATTTCGATGAGCACCATATCAAACCTCAGGTATACCTCACCACGTTTTCTCCTGGGCTACCTCAGGCTCTTTTCAACTACTTTCTTATGTCGAAGTCTTATCCTCTCTTATCCACCTCTAAGCTCCCAGCCTTCGCAAACAGCAACGACTGATATCACCGTTTTGTCTCAAGCTCTGGGTCAGTTACCATTCTCCTTTTCTTCGCTTCGCTGAGGTTACAATGCTCATTATTTTGGAGGTTTCATCTCTTCCATTTGTTTCTTTGCTTGCTAACTCTGTCTTCATGGACTCTTCGCGTTTCTGTATCCTCCCACTTCTTCTCCTTCCTCTTACGTTTCTACGCGACTCGAGTTAAAAACAAACAGACAGATCTCACGTGAGTCCTTATTTCCGTCCCTTGCCTTATTGTTTTCCCCACCCGTTGCTCAAGTCAGTCCGCACCTTCACCTTCACCCGCCTTCTTACCCTCACTCCAAGTCGCAGGTCTCTCTCTTGTCGTTCCCAACCCCCTCCTCGTCTTCCAATTTTTCAACCGTTCGTTTTTCTTACTTGCCAACTTTTCTCCCACCTTCCTTCCTATTTTACGTCCACATCTACAACTTCCTCTCAACGTTCGACCTCTTTTTCATTTCACTTCGCCGTCCAACATCTATCACGAACATCTTACCAATCCATCATAACGTTAATGAAAGCATCCCAGATTCAAATCTCTGCCTTCCATTCAGATCCCATACGCTAACAGAAAATCCAACAGAAGTCCCGCCATAATGACCTTCTCATCTGGTTCTTTGACCATCGCCCCCTCCGGTGTTGGCTCGCGCCAGCAAGCCACCCCGCCAGGTAAGCACCACAATCTTCTCATTGTGTCCCAGACTCGTTTTCTCGTCTCTCTTCCTCCTGACTATCTTGCCGTTGCTGGGCCCTAAGCAGTCAAGAATTCTTTTCTTGATGAGATGTCGAGAGCTCGGGAGCGCTGTGGCAATGGGTGAGATCGCCTGGGCCAATTGGATCGGCCGGCCACCTACACCAGGGTTGGGGCACCATCCTTCAGCATTGCGGGTCTGCCTTTGGCGGTACGGTCTCAACCACCTCGGACTTCCACATGAATGTCCCGGGTTGGTCCAGCTGGGTTCTTGCTGCCGCTGAGTCGTCCTGCTGGGCAAGCAGGGTAGCGAGCCTCGAGGTCACCCTACACTCTCGTTTCCGGGTATGCCCGTGTCATTGGTGGTGTCCCCTTCGCAGACATACCACGGGGGCTCGCCTTCGTGGGTTCATGGAGCCATTCCCAGTCGGATGTCAGGTCGAGTCTCGAGAAGTCTGGATCTTCCGGCTATCGTTTCGTGGCCTGTCAACATCTGGGTTCCCAGGAGTCCTTCTTTACCGTCGGCCTCTTGGGTAGCTGCAACTTCCTTCCGTCAAAAGTTGGACCGCGCGGTAGCCTGACCTAGCCAGTCGGGTGTTCCTCCATGAACGTCAAGTCTCAAGAAGCACCCCCTTAGCGAGGTAATTTCGGTGGCAGCAGCAAAGATGCAGGATTCCACACGGAGAGACACAACAGAGAATGACGCGTTCGGCTTACCAGTAAGGTTTTCCTTGCTGACGGGGTGAAGATAGGAGACATCTCTCTAGAAGACACGGACGGAAGAAAATTTCCGGAAGTATTAACAGTGGCTCGGTAAGTGACAATTTCCATCCGTCTGAACAATGCCATAGTTAACCTCTTTCTGACAGGTAGACAGCACGGACAAGGTAAGCCTTACACCCGCAACCTGGGCAATTTTTCGAACAGGAGCCGTTTCTTGGCGGCTTTCTGTCCCAGGAAGGCACCACGAGTGAGCGTTTTGATGCCCTGGGTTCTCCACCGTCTGAATACTGGGAGGAATAAGAGGCGCACTCAAAGGCTATGACTGCAAATGGAGATCCTAACTAAAGCCGACTCGTGTGGCCGTGGGACCAGCGTTTCAAAGATAGCATCCAGGGATCGAGACATGACAAGAGCGTGGGAACGCCCAACGAGAAAAAGATATGCGCGCTCTTCAATTTGGTTTGATGAGTGTTCGTGCTCTGGCATCTAGATTGACCGAGTGTCCAGCAAATTCTAAAGACGGCGTGCATGGAAGATTGGGCTATTCCAGCGTCCAACAAGGCTTGCAAATGAAGGCACTTAGTCAAATATTCATGGTGGAATATCAACAGATAAACAGTCAATAAGCTGCTTCTTCTGTTAGTCGCTTCTTCTGATTTATAAAGTTTTGCTGCAAATGGCCATCCGCATCACCCTCAATGCTGAAAATCAAACCCGTTGTGGTTAGAGCGCATCCATACTGCTTACACACAGCTGTGCTGCAGAACCAATACTGTCTTGGCAGGCCCCATATTTCTCAATTCGGTGCTTGGTGCCGGCGCTGAACAGTAGAACCCTTGCAACCAACAACATTACACGGCGTGGCCTACAACGTCTGCCTTACGCAAGATCTTCCAACCAACCCAGGTTTCACCAATCACCTGAGTAGCTCTGCTTTAAGGGTAGAGTGTCACCAACTAGACTCCGAATACCTTCTATACAGACGGCCCCGGATGACGGCTGCGTGTAGACCTATGGATATGGAGGACTCCGAGTCGTTGCCGTTGGAACAAGCCCCTCGCGCAAGCATCGAATACCTGCCATCTGAGCTGACAGGTGCTATCCTATCTCAACTGTCGAACCGCGACATCAAAAGTCTGCGTTTGACAAGCAGAAAAGTTCGCGACATTGCCGGGCCCTACTTCCGTCTCGATCGCGTCTTTCTGTCAGCCAATCCTCGCAATGTTGAGGTCTTTACCGCTGTCGCGAATCATGACATGTTTCGTTGGGGGGTCTACGAAATAATTTGGGACGACGCGCGTCTGATGAAATCGCCGGAAATGCAGGATCCCGACACGTTGGAAATGGACGAAGAGGATTTGGTGTACAGGTTTGAGATGATGGGGTCGCCGCGTCCGAGAGGGTGTCCTCCTTGGTATGCCTGGGTGTGCAACGAAAATGTTGGCCTCTTGAAAAGGCGGAAAGGCAACGACGTCGATTCGCGGCCGGAACACGTTACCAGAGCGAAGCAGCTAGCTTCACTGCTGCCGCTCAAAGAGTCCTATGCACATTACGAGGACTTGCTTCGGCAGCAAGATGAAGTGCTGTCCTCCGGAGCCGACACGGTCGCCCTCGAGGACGCCTTCAGGAGAGAGTGCTTCCCTAACCTGTGTAGGATCACAATTACGCCCGTAGCGCATGGATTCCTCTTCACCCCTTTATACGAAACACCAATGATTCGAAGTCTCCCTTATGGCTTCAACTATATGATTCCCCGAAGTTGGCCTGTGCCGAAAGCTCTGGAATCACCTAGCACCTGGCTCTGGGTCGACGAAACAATCAAGAGCAGGTGGCGTGGCTTCCGCATTGTCACTCAACTGCTGGCACATAACCCCGGTGCGAATGTAACAGAGATAGTCATTGAAACTAAGGGGCTCAGAACTGGGCTGCCGTGTTACATTTTTGATGATCGAAAGCCATGCAAGGAGTACGATGATCTGATGACATTGCTCAGACATCCTGGCTTTGCGCGACTGGACCTCGCCCTCATGGTTGGAGGGCAGGAAGTACACAACTGGTCATGTTTCCGCAACGGTCGCCTTCGGCACGCTCTGAAGACGGAATTACAACATTTCAGCTTTCAGACCGATGTCGAACCAAACCCGGACATGCGAATGGACGCTCTTGGCACTGGTGGCTCGTTGGATCACTTTACCCCTCTGCTGACCATCTTCCCGGTTGAGACATGGACCCGACTACGACACTTTGGGCTATCGAGGTTCTTGGTTAAGCAAAATGACTTACTCGACTTCTTGCGGCTTTTACCGGATACTTTGCAATCTGTCGAGCTAAGTCTTCTCTACTTCCTGAAAGACGGTGGTGGCCACAGAGGCCTCCTCGCCGGGATGCGCAATGACCTGGGATGGAGGAGGCGGGCCATCAAGCCTCGGGTGGCGATGGGCTACGACATTTCTCGAGGCATTTGCGTCGAGCGGGCTGTATGGTTAGACGAAGAAGTTCGAGGTTTTCTCTATGGTGATGGGGAAAATCCTTTTGCAACAGATGAGAACGGTGGGAACTCAATTAACCCCGGAATCGGTATTGTGAGAGACTCTTTCGAACCGGAGCATGAGAGGCCTTACGTTAAGCCGGAGGTCTTGGTGGAAATGGGCATTATCAAAGAACAGGCGTCCAGGATGGCTCGTGGGTGGCATTAGGCGATCTCGGACCGAATTCTTGCTCTATGAACATCAATATCAGTTGCGTCGCCATCCTAAAGGTATTGCCAGATAGAGAACTGGATTTGCCGAGTATCAGAGCCCACAATCTAGAGTAAGACTGACTTCAGGTGAGCGTTAGCAGATGAGTGCAGAAGTAAACGTCTGATATAAATTTGCTGTGCTGTACACACATATTCCTCCCATAACAAAAATCGACGGACTAGTAGGGCTAAGGATACAAACACTAGCTACCTATTCTAAATAACCACACTATTAACCCCTCTTCTCGCTAGAGATGTCTGCCCCTGATTCTCCATCGCGATCCCAGATCGCAGTCTCCATCGAGGGGTACACCAAGTCAGCGTCCTCCTCCCTCCACTCTTCCAAGTCGACAAGATTCCACTTCGCCCTCAGGAACCGGCTGCGAACCTTGTCCGACATTCCAACCATCCGGATCTGCACGCTCTTGCCAGCATGCGACCGAATCTCATCCTTCAAATCCTTCAACGTCATGATGCCGGACGTGTCGATGAATGGTACCATGGTGAAGTCCCAGACAACGACTGCAAGTGGTGTTTCCTTGACCCTAAGCTGCCTCTGTGCTCTAATCCTCTCCAACCTCTTTTCGGACGCCACGCTCCAGTGCCGCTCGCGGTCGTCTTGGCTCATGCTGGTCTCGACGCGAGGGTACACCAGCTTGATGGCCGTGAGTGTCGAGGTCTTTGCGCGCTCAGCATTAGGGAAGAAGATGGCGTCGTTGAAATCGACCACGATAGTGTCGCCGGGAATGGAAATGCTGGCATTCTCCGTGCGGTTATCGGTGCCGCGATGACTGCCGTCGCTGACAATGCGGGTAATGGGTTGGGGGATGCTGTGAGCGATCTCGTTGTTGCTGGAGTGAATGACAGGCTTGACAAAGGTTGAGCGCAGCATAGTCCATGCGATACTCCATCCCACCTAGAAAGAGGTCAGTCTAAGCCAAACAATATCAAGGCGCTTGACGTACTGCAGCGCCGATGCCGATTTCCGAAGAGACGAAGATGGTAACCCAGAAAGACACCATCGAGGCGACAAAGTCTGGAAACGAGATGCGCCAGAAGCGGTAAAAAAGTGATAATGGGCCAAAGAGATGAACAACGGCCATGATCTGCAGAGTCAAAACGTGTCAGCAAGTGTTTATCAAGTCATGAACAATAGGGCTTACAATGATGGCAGACAGAGTGGCGGACGGAAGCCAATAAAGAGCTGGAGACAGGACGTAAAGGGTCAAGAGAATGAAAGCAGCAGTGAACAAGCCTGTCAAAGGGCTCTTGACGCCACACTCAGAGGCAACAGCCGTACGAGACATGGCACCACCCACGGGCATCGTACTGAAAAAGCTGTTGACAATGTTGACGACGCCGAGGTAGTTAAACTCCTGACTCTGGTCGATCTGGTAGTTGTTCTTCCTTCCAAAGGCCTTACCGACGGCCAAGTGTTCCAGGGTGCTGGCGACCAGAGGCGCAATGGCCCTCACCGCAACCTTCTGTATGAGGTTCGAAGCCGGCACGATGGGGTGAGTGATGCCATGAGTGCTGACTTGGCTAACCTTCCAGGAGTAGTCGGATTTGTCACGGCCACGGTTAACTAGGTAGCTGATCAGGGTGAAGACTATCAGAACGATAACGGCCCTAGAGTTGGCGAGGAGCTTAATGGCGAAGTGTCTCTTGCCCCATTTCTTGCCGACCTTCTCGAGAGCGATAAGAATAAGGAGCGTTCCGAAGCCAATACCGCAGGTTGGGCCGTCCCACTTTGGAAGGCGACGAAGGACGTCGCCGATGACGTTGAAAACGCCGGATGGTACATTTGTCAGACCGACGAGGGACCCGACTTGACCGAAGGCGATGACGAGAGCGGCGGCTGAGATGAAGCCCGTCAAAACTGGGAATGAGACGTAATCCAGGAGAAACCCTAGGCCGAAGAGACCGATGATTATCGAGTAGACTCCGACCATAAGGGCCACGGATGAGGCTATCGCCGAGACGTCGAAGCCTTCTTGACTCAGATCGTGTACAATTTCGGCAGTCAGGAGACCTAAGATGGAAGTTGGGCCGGTTGAGAGGTCTATTCGATAGACGTCAAGTCAGAACTTTGCCATCACTAATTTCGTCTTCTGAGGACGATGCTCACCCTTTGAAGTTCCCATAAAGACTGCAAACGCAGCTGGCAGCCAACTCGAATAGAGGCCGTTGGCGATGGGAATTGTTGCAATCTTCGCATAAGCCAGGGACTGGGGAATGAGCATGACGCCCACCGTCAAACCAGCAATGAAGTCAGTGATGAGCCATTTCGGAGAGTACTGAGGCAGCCACTGGACAATGGGGACTTTCTCGAGTAGGTAGACTCCCGCAGCTGACGGCAACTTCGGAGCTCCTGAGACGACAAAGTCACGAGCCCGGGCAAGACTGGCATCCGTCGTGATTTCGTCTCTCAACTTCTCAAAATTCTGGTTAATCTTTTCCATTTCGACGAAACAGGTTGGATTGTCGCTGTTCAGAGAAAGAAAAACGAAGGCGAAGAAAGAAACGTGTGCGGGCTCTTCGGTGGTTAATGAGATGGGAACAGACGGATATGGTTTCAGTAGTTGGGATGATTACAGACCATCAGAAATAGGGTCGATGAAGAAACGAGTCAGCGCTTCGTCCGACCTCCCACTTCTCTTGTTTGATTTCCAGAAACAACACTCAATTTAGGCTGATGGAGGCGTTCTTTATGCTTGTTGTACCCGCATCCGATCTGCACATTGCAGCTGCCGCGTGCGCAAGTCTTCCCGTTACAACACAGACCACATCGAAAAGGCAATATGGATCTTGGAGTAAACAACGAACTGTTCAATACGGCAGGAGTACAGTACTCAAGGAGAGGGGGAGGTGTGAGCCAAGCAACACTGTCGCAACATTGCCGCCGCTACACAAACTTGGCTCAAACTGGGCAAGGAACTGCCGTACCCCCCTTCGGACGACACTCGGTATCCCTTCGCGTGCCGATGACACCGAGTCTAATGCAGTTCATCACCATTCGGCCATGTAGAATCGCGTCGCCTGCATTGGTGGGAGTTTCGAACACATTTAGCTCAGACTGGACATGGGAAACGCAAGTGCTGCAACTCCAACTACCCCAATGAAGAACTTCAATAGAACTTCTGACCCTGGCTACGAGTGCAGACGCCTGTCGAATTCAAAGTGAAGCTATGCCACCCTTTGGAAGGTTGGGAACAAGAGCAACAAACGGCGAAGCGCAGATCACACGCCGTCAGGAACGGGGGGTGAGATCAATGACTATTGGATGGACGAGTTGGAGCAAGAGGACGTACCGAATACCATAGCGCACGCGAGTGATGACTACGCAGCAGCTGGGCACGGAAGTACCAACTTTGAGTCACGTCAGCTGAGATGGTGTCCGCGTACTTTCATTCGTCATTGAGAGCGGTCCAGGAAACCTTGAGCATCGCATCTCACCTTACGCTCATTTAAACTCACAATGAGCATATCCCTCCTGGACTTGGCGCCAGAGAGCCGCAATGCTAAGCCGACTTGCCAAGATCTGATCTCTTGGCTCCTCGTGGTCTTTAACGAGTTGCTGAACCACCAAGACAATCTTGGCATTTGCTCATGAATCAGCAAGACCGCAACAAAGGTAGTCCGCCACCAGCAGACCGTAATGTAGTAATCCAACGGCCGTCAACACTAGATGGATGTGGGACTACAATCAGTGATGCGGGTGATCTAGGAACACTAATGTGTGCCAAGGTGCCAAACGTAACAGCCTTCGTGGCTGCCAAGGAAAGAGAGCGATTGTCCTTTAGGGACTGTACGCCTTAGGTTACATGCATAGGCAATAGGCACGGTGATCTTGGCAAAACATATACGATTTCCTTTTGCGGATTGGCGAGGAGAGATAACAGGCTCAAAAACTTAAGGCATGGAACACTTGGCTTTCTCTAGTCCTCCCTCTTGCCCACCCGCCGAGAGATTTTGTTTGATACCCAGGTTGAAGCAATCTAGAGTGACGGAGCCCCATCTCGGTCTGCAAGCTAGGGCTTTTGGTCACCATCGAAAGAGGAAGCGTGCTCGCGGCGCTATCTGTGTGCTTGTCTACCTGCCTACATTTAGGCTAGCTCGACGCAAGCCGAATCCCTCCCTGGTCCTTCACTTCCCTCCCGCCGCATCGACTAGGCCAAGACGCGGGGTACATACCCGTCCAATAGCGCTCCCGTTGCACCCATCTGCCCTAACAGGGCTTATCTAGACAAGCGAACGTACTAACGAGGCGGGATGTCGAATGCCGATGAGTGTGCGAGCTGCACAAGGCGTCTTTATGAACATCCTTGCTAGTAGGCCTCGGCACGACGGGACAAGCTTTGACTTCTCCGGTTGATGTGGATATGCCAAGACCGCGAATCATATGCCGCGTTCCGGGTGATGCTGACCAGGGCTAAGTCCGGCCTTGACCGGGATTAAGCCAGTGCGGAGCCAGGACTTACCGTAGCTGGGACTAGGAAATCATATCGGCTCGAGTGGGGGGAAAGGGATTCGGCGGGCGGCAAGCGGGTTGTGGGCCAACAGGCAGTATAACCATGTAAAGGCTATCGACATCTAATTATGTACCATTTCTAAGCTAGACCTACCTGTTTTCTTCCATCGAGATACGGCAGTTGCACGAACGGGATCCACGCGGCGTGATAGTCACTTGACCATAGCTAATGTGCGTTAGCCAGGTGCAACGAATCAGCTCATGTCGCTGTTAGAGTTGGAATAGGACACCATCTTGCCCAGGGCCGAGTCTCCTCCTCCCTCAAAATACATTCCCGTCTCATCTGATCCCCCCATCTGCTGCGCTAGGAATTACCCCTCTTCAGTCCCCCCAACTTCCAGAAATAGAATCGGGTGCCATCAACTACACCTTCCATACTAAGGTCACTGGCAGACAGTATGCATTTCTAACGCTCCCACACGTCTAGGAGGACCTGCACTATAGCCGCTGCGGAAAACCCGTCGCAAAAGATTGGACGACACCGAACCAGCCTTGTCAGCACTGCATCACGTCTGTGTCTGCTGAAACGGGACTATTGGCCCGGATTTGATGGTGTCGTCGTTTCGTGCGGGGTCCAGCCTGCGTACTTGTTGCACTCGACGCTAGACTCTCAGTCACCACCTTCTTGATTCATCCATGACACCCGCTTTCTGTCGTTGTTATGGCTCCTCCCGCTGGTAATACCCTGCGATAAGCCCAACACAGACAAGGTGTTGAAGGAGAGGAGGCCCTGGCCTGGGTATTAGAGCGACACAGCCTGGCTGCCGCAAGTCTTGGATGGTGTGAACAAGGGCGACAGCCTATAGCAATCTTGTTCAACCACCTTGCGAGAGTGATCACGTATATGGCCCCCCTCTCCGATATACCTATTCGAGACACTGCATCTGCTTAGTCTGCATTTGCCACGGACTTCCTTCGGAGACCTGTCGGTAAAGGAACTTTGGAGGAACAAGCGAGTGTTATCAACAAGTCAGATGTGCCTACGTATAGTAATTCTAATCTGAGAAACGAGAAGGGCGATCTATGCAGTGAGCTGACTACATGGTGATGCAAAGGCTCGGCTTGGCAGTTAAAAATGAGTAATCGGTAATGTTTGGACGAAAATCTGGGAAAGGGTTGCATGGATACCCTGTGTGAGCTCATTTTGTTAACGAACTTAGAAGTGGTTACGAACAAAGATCATTGGAACTTTCATGAGGGCCATAGTCTATAGAGTTCCACTAGAATCAAAATAGTATTATTGAGTAACCAACAATATCTGTAGACATACGAGATCATGGCTTTGCTGAAAATGTTTCATTGCCACGAAACAAACACCTTAAGCACAGACAACCTGCCAAGCCGCTATTGTGATTTTCCGGGTTTCCTTCAGAGCTCTTGAGTTTCGGTCTGAGTTTCTTCAACAGCATCTGGCTTGGTAATCTCGTCCTTCTCCGCATTACGGACCTTGTCCCAAAATTTCTCGCCAGCCTCAGGGTCGTCGGCAAAGAGGTGGTCAACGACCAGCTTCTTGGGGGTCTCTCCCATCCACTGGAACAGTGAAAAGTCTCTGAATTCGTCGGCGCGGAAAATCTCGAGCATTTCCACTGGTTCGTCTCCGATATTTTCTACAAAATGACCCATGTTCTTCGGAACGATACCAACATCGCCAGGAACGTAGTCAAAGGTCCGAGCGTTGCCTTCAGAGGCGAAAATCGTGACTCTGGCGCGCCCCTTGATGAAGAAGGACCATTCATCGGCGTTCGGGTGCCAATGCATTTCTCGGAGGGCACCGGGCTCGATAATTGCATGGGCCGCAGCAATGGTCTTCGAAATTGGGAAGTTCTTAGAGTCTGTGATTCTAACTTCACCACCAGAAGTCTTCTTGGGTTCTTGATCCAACATTTTGTGCGTAAATTGGTGCTTTGACTTCTTCACTCCTTTTCCAGAGGGTGCCTCGTGACTAATGGAGCCCGGTGTAGTTCCCTGAAAGATGTACTTTTCTCCTTCGGGGATATGGGCGAAGACTTCGGGGGCCAGGTGGAAGTTCTTTGAGATTACTGACTTTGGTGTATGAGCTAAACCGGTGTTAGTACTTATAACCATCCGTAGACATTGCGCAGATATGGGTCATACCGAGCCAGTCCGTAAGGATAAATGTGGATTCTTCAGAGAAGTGTCCATCGTCGAAAATCAAGAGGAACTCTGTTCCGTTCTCGCCAAGACCTTGCAAGGAGTGAGGCACACCGGATGGAAAATACCTGCATCACCTTCAGCATCAGTCGAAGAGCAATCATAAGTCGGCTTTTGACCAAAACATACCATAGGTCTCCCTTGTTCAGGTCGTCAAAGAAGTTGCCTCCCTCATAGTCGATGGCCGTGACGCGCACGCTTCCATCGAGTACATAGGCCCACTCGGCTTCCTTGTGCCAATGAAGTTCACGAATAACACTTTCGTCCAGGCGCATGTTGACTCCGGCAAGCTCGATGCTGGTGGGTAGTTCCCGGATCGTGGTCTGTCGAGTCCATCCGCCCTCCTGCGTATTGCTGGTTAGTCACAGTTCGTCGCGTCTAAGTCTCGAGAAAGTAAATGTACCTCAATGCGGATGTGGGAGTCCGCAAAACTCCAGCGCATATTGGCGAGGTTGCCATGGTCTGTACTCGGGGGTCGCACAAGGTCGGGGTTCTGTCTGGAACGAGCTTCATTCCATGGCCCTAGGACAGAGGCTCCTAGACCATTACGCCACGGTAGTGGATCAAGGTTGTCGCCAATAGAGTCAACGGGGCCGTCATACTTGTCCTTGTGACCGGGCGTGTAAGGCGATGATGTAGTGCGGTACTTTGTGGGTAGACCTTTCCCGTCAAGGAGACGCTGGCGGGGACCGTCTTGGACGGGGATGGCGACAGTTGGGGAGAATAAGCTCAAGAAAGCCCCAGATAGTAGCAGCTTTGCAGCGAAATCGCCGTTTCCAACGGTGGGGAGGTGCATATTTGCGTAGAAATGCCTAAAAAGTAGAAGTCTGAAAAACTAGGGTATACTTGTCTGACTTCACTTTGATGGGTTGGACAGGCCGCGCTGGCTTTTTATACATTATCTGGCCAAGACATAAACACAGTATTTTCGGCTCGTCGCTGAACAGTCTTGAAGAGCTCAAGGCTCAAGCTACTTTTCGATTGACCAATTACTACCCAGCTCAGCCCCTGACAAGCCGCGTCGACCATTCAGATGGCTATCAGAGGCAATCTTAGTAGCTGTACGAGTCTTGATACCGAGTGAAGGCCGACGCATCTCCGCAGCCTGGGTCGAGGACGGTTGCATGGGTTGAGCTCGACGGAGCTGTTGATACTGCGGGGTTCGCTGTAATCGGCACAGCTCATACCCTGACCCCAAGCTCTAATCCCTGTAATCGAGTGATGGTGATTGGAGACCATGGCGAGCGCCATTGACCTAGACCGGTCGTTGGCGGTGCCCCAACGAAGTAGACAAAAGGTGGCCGACTCCGTCATAATTCTGAGGATGAGTGAATGAAACATTGAAGACCGAAAGATGCATGGAGCAGCAGACTGTAACACGTCGTACCATAGAGGGATATTCCTCTATTTGCATACGCAAGTTCTGTGCACATGCAAGGCCTTGAATTCAGTCTAACTTACTACGGAGCCTTCCCGATATTCTTACAAGCTCCAAAAGAAATCTAGTAACCACAACGTTTTGTTTGGCCCCCTTTGTTCCTTCAGACTGTCTATGGCTGAGCAAGCTATTTAGGGCAAGCAAGTTTACCCCTAGGGCCTTTGGTGAGCTGAAAGTGATAAATCCTTTTCGCTTGACCCGATTTTGATGATCAACAAAAGTCACACTCACGAAGAAAATACCTTGGTCGACTGACTCTTTCAGAAAATAACGAGTCAAAGGCAGCACAACACTACTTCGAATGACATAACCAGATAACTAAAGATTATGTTGTTGGTCTGGAATTCTGACTCAGCACGCAACAACTAGAATTCATCAAAACGCGGTCATTGAAGAAAACTACAAAAGCATGGCATAGGGCAAGAGGGAGAGACCAATATAAACATGCTTCAGCTTATTAATGTGAAAAGTTGCGGGGATGTTCAGTTGCAGATCACCCACTTGTAGTAGCCCAACAGTTTGATATTTGGAAAAACGAGTTGTATTAGTGCAGTTATCAATGAGTAACTATCTAAGTTACCATCCAAACATCCACCCCTTATTCAAACTTTGTCGTTCTAACATGGATAGTGGGGCGAAGGATCTACCATCAAGGCACGACATATTAATTGTCGGATGCTGAATCGGCCAAATGGCTTACAGGTAAGCAAGAGCGCCAAGGGCAAGAGCAGCCATGATGCCGATAGGACCTTGGGCGACAGCACCGTTGACGGTGACTGGAGTCTGGGTGGTAGTGGCAGTGGCGGTGCCATTACGGGTAGTAACGGCGCTGGTGACGACAACAGTCCGAGTAGTGGCCGCGCCAGGAGTAGATGATGCCACACTGGAGATATTTCCGGCTACAGAAGAAGTCGCCGCCGAAGCTCTGCTAGATGCCGCAAACGTAGCGGAGGAAGCGACACTGGAGGCAGCAGATGAAGCGGAGCGAATGGCGGAAGAGGCGGCGGCGGAAGCGGATGAGACAGCCGCGGAGGCAGCAGATGAAACGGAACGAATGACCAAGGAGGTAGCGCTGCTACCTCCAGCAGCTGCGGCGCAGATGCGGCTAGCGGCGGGGATGACCACGTCTGAAGGTACAGAGTCAGTATCTTGCTAGCACATTACATGTAACAACGACTGGGGAATCGACTTACTGACGGCAAAATCAGGCCCGCAGTTCTGAAGAACACAAGGAGTGCCGGCAGTAACTATGGCCTGGAAGTTGGCGGGCTTGCAGAGGCAGGTTACGTCACCGACGGTGCATGCACCGTTGGCTGTGATGGCGTTGGCCAAGCACTGCTGGGCGCATTGCGGAAGGTCGTTGAGAGTCTGCGCGGCGGCAAAACCGGCAAAGGCGATGATGGCAGCAGAGTACTTCATATTAAGCGATTGAGAAGTTCGGGTGAGTTGAGGGGCGGTGAATTGATCAAGTGATTTGGAAGTTGAATGAAAACGAGAGTCTTCTTTAGGCTTTGTAGAGCGAGAGTTGAGTGAGCTGATGAGGAAAGATGAGCTAGCCTTGAGAACGGGAAAACTTTGCTTCTCATATACCCATTGAGCTCAAAGTTCCGATTCACCGAAACAGACACTTGCGGGGCTATGCTCGGAAAGTCCAGCTTGGCTGGAGAGCTTTGCTAAGCTCAATGAGCTTGCGCTGATCCCGTATCCAGGTTCTTCTCTGGAATGTAGCCGTCGTCGTTTGCAGCCACACACGTTTCCGTATCCGTCCCTGCGACGTTCCCGGCCAATCAGTGCTTTCAATCCGTCTTCTTCAGCATTAGGTTCCTGTGGCTCCCAGACTAAATCAGGGCTTGCTGAGAGTGTGCCTGAACGGCCCAGGCCGGATTCGGGAGCTCCTGGTAGCGCCGATTGTGTCCGCGTGGTTGTGTTGGACGGATGCCATGGCATTTTGGGAGCTTCTTACCCTATGCGGCCGACTTTAATCGGATGGAAAAAAGCTGAAGACAGCTGTCGAGGGAAGAATGTCACAGCTACTGCGTCATCGATCTGAATTGGGCGACCCGGAGCAGTGGAATGGACGATGACCTCAATGTCAGTTGAGCTAGCCATGCAACCGCCTTGAAAACTATTCGAAATCACCCAAATTCTCACATCCCCAAAGTCACTCACAAGGTGATGGCTGGAACAGGTGAGACAGAAAAGCTTAGCATTATGGGGCCCACGGAAGATGGAAGAGTGATCTAGAGTGGAACTTGTCTGATCAATCTAATATTTGCAGGCGGCAGGGCTGAGCTGATGAGAACCAATAAACGGGTCAGGATACCAACTGTCACATAATGTGGTATTGAAGGTTGGATCCTCGCGATATGTGGCACCGGCATGTTGGTTTGCGGATCACTTGGCGGTCATGGCTAAACTTGCACAAGTGCGCCTAGGGCTGATGCGCTGCCAACACCAACAAAATCAGTCGAGATTGATGAGGAAAGCAGCAGTTTTCCGAGTCTTCGTCGACCATGTTAGCAAACTACTGCCCTCTTGGGGATTTGGCTTGTGGCTGAAACTCAATAAACTTCGAGCCGAAGGCAAGCATCAAAACACGGCCGCGGAATATCCAATCAGTGGTAGACAGAATAATGTCGAACAAAACATGAGCTGACGCTATCTAAACCAAAACATGAGTACTAACTACACGGCACAAAATCTACATGATGCATGTGATTCGCGCCCCTGAGGGCACCTATCTTCCAAAATCCGTCCATGCAATCCGTTACATGTTTAGTCCGATCCAGTCCGTTCCCGTTCCAACCTGACAAAGGAGATATGAACATCAATGAAAGACCCAACGCTGACCGACTTCGCGCATGCTGTGTGCCCCAATAAACAACATATGAAAACACAAAGGAAACACTACCACGATAATCCAATCCAATCAGTCACCCCAAATGTTCACTAATGCACCTTTGCCTTGTTAAGACCTTCGCTACCCGTACAAGGGGACCAAAATCAGTAACGGGATTCATTCGCTCTTCTCGCCGTCTGAGTGGGAGTGCTGGGAGGAGGATCTCTTCATGCGTAGATCGCATCGTCGCATTATTTGACTGAAAACATAATAATCAGCATGTTGTCTGAGAGAAAATCAGTAGAGAGGGCTTCCAACTTACATTCCGCCCCGTTCATTCGGGTTGCGCACCACTACCAACTGCTCCTTTTTCTTGTCGTTATCCTTCTTCGTCTTTGTCGACTGTCTCGCGTGGGACGACTCCCTTGAACGCGACTGCAGAGATGGAGTAGAGAGGCGTCCACGCAGCTGACCGATCTGGTCCTTCAAGCTGTTGACTTCGGCAACTGACGCATCGTACGAGGCGCGGAGACCGTCAAGCTGGGCGTTTACGAGGGTCAGCTGCGACGCCAGAGTCGCGTTCTCTTGGCGCAGCTGCGGCGCCTGACCGGCCTCCGGTTCCAGTGTTGCAACACGAGTGACCAACTCATCTCTCTCCGCCATCAGAGATCCGAGCTTCACTGTCTCAGATTGCAGCTGTTCGTTGCGATCCTGCAGCTCAGCGATGCGCTGTCGGAGCTCTTCCATGACAGCCGACTCGGAGGGGGTGATTGACTTGGCGGACATGGACTCGGCTTTCTCGGTGGCGGCATCATCCTTGGCGGGTGCAGTCTCCGGCGCCGCGACTTCGGGCTCAGGGGCCGCCTTGGAATGCTCGGAAGGCGTAGTGGATTTAACGCTGGCTGCGTCATCCTTGACTTCCTCAATTGACGGTGCCTCGTCGACAGTAGGGGCTGCAGCAGCTTCCTCTGTCGGCGGTGCAGGTGCCGCCTCCTCTGGTGCAGGCGGAGCTTCATCTTCACCTTTGATGGTTTCCGCATCGCTCTCGTCCGTTGATCCCATAACAGATGGGGCAACTGAGCCGGCAACTGAGGGTGCAGCGGAGCCGGTGACAGAGCCCATGAGCGACTCTGCGCGTCTGAGCTCGCTGGTGACTGATTCGTTCTCGTCTTTGAGCGAAGCGTTCTCTGAACGAAGGCTGTTGCGCTCCTCTGCCAGGCTGAGGATCTGAGAGCTCTTATCATCTTGATCCTTGAGAAGCGCCCCGATCTGGGTTTGGAGTGTTGTGTTCTTGCCCTTGAGACCCTCAACGCGGGTCTTAAGCTTGTCGTACTTGGCCTTCACACCTTCAAGGTCCTTGACCTGGTTCTCAAGCTCTCCCTTGCTGACTTCAAGCTCACCTTTGGTGGCCTCGAGGCTCTCGAAGCGAGTCTGAATGTCGGTGTTTGTGGTCTCGAGCTGTGTGAGGTGTACCACGACCTCTTGCTTCTCTACTTCAAGGGCACTGAAGCGATCCTGGATCTCCTTCTTCTCCGCTTCGAGACCGCCGAAGCGACCCTCGAGGTCTTTCTTCTCGGTGTTGAGCTTTTCAATGTCGGCCTCAAGACCTTTCTTCTCGGCTTCAAGTGCATCATAGCTTTCCAGGGCAGTCTTCTTTTCCGTCTCCAGCTTCTCAATATTGGCTTCTAGACCCTTCTTCTGTTTGTCGAGATCGTCGATACGGGATTGCAGGCCCTTATTGGCTTCAGTCAATTCACCATTATCTTTGTTAAGTTGATCGACTTGCGGTTTGTACTTGTCAACATCCATACGCAGGAGGTTGCGCTCGGCAGTGATGTCTCCGATCTCGGTTCCTTTGCGAATGAGCTCCGTCTCGAGTCCGGTAACGCGCATTTGCAGACTTTCCTTTGTCAACTCCAGCGCAGCAATCCTCTCAATGAGAGCACGCTCAGTCTCCTTGGTGACGTAGTGGGCATCGCCGACGCTCCTCTCCAAGTCGCGACATCGGGTCTCGAAGTGTTTCTTGATTTTCTCTTGTTCGGCAATGTCCATCTCCAGGATAGTATTTTTGTTGGTGACCTCCTCCTTGGCGTTCCTCTCAAGAGCAATCTGCTTCTCAAGGTCATTGGACTTGGCCTCCAGCTCCTTTTTGATGCCCTTGAGCTGGTCACGCTCACGTGCAACATCTTCAAGCTTCTTCTCGCGCTCGCTGAGACAGCTCTTAACATCATCTAGGAGACGGCTCTGTTCATCGAAGTCGCGGGCGATCTTATCCTTGAGGTTCCTCTCCTCACGACGTTTCTTCTCGGTTTTTTCCTTATCGGCGGAAAGTGTGGAAAGCCTCTCCAGGGCGTCTTCCAGTCTCTTATCGGTGTCGGACTGCTTGCCGAGGAGGCTCTTGGTCTCCTCCTTCATACGGGAGATCTCCTTGAGGAGGCCATCCTCGACCTTCTCACGTTCGTGAAGCTCATGGGAGGTGATGTGCTGTACAACTGGAGGGGCAGGGGCTACGGGGGCCACCTCGATATGTACGGTCTGTCTCTTGGGAGCAACAATGTCGACGCGGGCACCCTTGAGGCTGGCAGGCTTGGCTGGGGGAGGGGGAACAGTGTTGGTCTTTGCCACTTGCTTTTCAACAGTGAACGGCCGAGTGCGGACTGCTGAGGTATAAGTGTCGGACTTGCTGGGATAAGTATCAAAGTCCTCGACGCTGGTTGCGTTGGTGATAGTAGAATGAGAGTCAAAACTGTATTTCGACTCGACATCGGAGTCATTGGTTTCATCGGCGGAAGGGTAGACGGCCTCATTGGAGCGTCTCCATGGCCGGTTGAGCTCTGGGCGGGACGAACGATAGCGGAGGGCAGGGGGCTTGAACATCAGAGGAGGCTTTCCACTGCTGTCCTTGCGTCTCCAGCCCCCAGATGAGCTGACGCTCAGATCGGATCTGTTGTCGGCCGAACGATCCATGGGAGCGAGTGAAATCTCGGAAACGTTGGCGTTTGACAAGTCGAGGTTCTCCAGAGGAGTGCTGTCTGGGATAGAGACTGAGGGCCGCCTCAGTCTGAAGCGACCGCGGCCCTTCGCGGGCACAGGGTCACGGGTGGGAGCCATAAGGTCGTTGACAAGATGATGACGGTAAGGATATGGTCAGGCGCAGAAGCACTGATAAGTGATGATGTTATTTTTATGGTTTTTCAAGTTATGTGCCAAGCTGGACGTCTGATCTGGGGCTGATGAACTTTGCGAGTAACATTGAAGGTGTATTGGTAAGTTGATGAGGGGTAAAGTTGCATATCGGGTCTGCTGGGATCTACTATCAAAAATGATGAGATCGAAAGCGAAGTCTGGTTATAGGCGGCGAGATGGTTTTGTTCAGAATATCCAGAGTATGTTGTTGTGGGAGGGAAGAAGTAGAGAAAGGGAAGCGGAGGGTGATCTACGTACACAACAGCCCAACCGGCAGAAAATGACATTAGACATTGCCCGCCTTCGCCCGTGGCCGCCCCAGCACGCTTAAACCCCGTCCTATAGGGCACATACATTAATCAACCTCGGCGAGCGTCGAGACACGGGACGGTCGAGCCGGCCACTACTAGCGAGCGTCAGGGATGAGGCGTGGCACTAAGGGCAGGTCCAAAGGGTCTTCACGAAACCGCTTGGCGGAAACCTCCGCTCACACCCAGGGCAGACAGTAGCGTCGAATATTGCAATCGTACCGTCGTCATTTCATGGCTCTCTAGGCTGGGAGAGTCGGGCTGAATGGGCCATGCCACTGTCAAGAGATGCAAACCTAGCTTTCCATGGTCACATCACCCCTGTCATCGATGGCCCATGGTTTCTTTGGGCCCCGTCCAGACTCCATCTTCACATCCCGCCTGCCGGGGGCCTAAAATGCGGGAGACCAGGGGGTGTGCCACCCTCCCGTAGCCATGGGCAAGTGGGCATTGGCTACGACGACAACTGGGCGCAAAAAGATCACTATGCAATACCCCTAAGTGGCAAAAGAGAACATGTGTAAGTCTCCTGTTGCTGGACAGACTTGAGTCTCTGGGCGCAGCATTTTGCACTTTGCGGTGTTTCGCTGCGTGCATACCTTTCCCCTCCTCGTCAGAGGAGTCCTGCCAACAACTCAGTGGGCGGCTGTCCAGTCTCCTGCTTTAGCTTGCTCTGTCGAGGGCCAAACATGCTCGAAGCCCTATTTTGCAGGGGTCAAACGGGGCACCAAGAGAATAAGAAAACGAATCAGACAGGCTACTGTGAGCGGAGATGAGTCAGAAATGCTGTAGACATGGGCCTTTCAACCAGTCGTTTTGGCAGGGCAAACAGGCGGAACTGAATTCGACTGGCCTCCTTTTTCTGTTTTTCCCTGTTTGTGCGCATGTTGTTGTGGGTTGGGCATCGCTCACTTTGCTTTGCTTGGGCTAGATCGAAGTAGTTGGGACGCAACGAACATGGGATTGCACTGGACCAGCTGCACGTTCCCGGAGAGTGACCAGGGGTCATGACTTGGACGTGGTGTCATTTGATTCGTTCGCTCTGCGGGCCGCTGGGCTACCTACCACGGTATACTATGTATGTCGTAGATTCCAGACCCCGACTGGCCTAACAATGGACTCTTGTCTTGATACTCCAACGTTTTTCGATTTTTGTGTCGTGTCTTAAGGCTCGAGGCGAATTCCAAGATGTTCTTGTTTGCCTATCGGCGACATTGACTCGCTCTAAAATGGTCCATGTGCTTATGATGTGCCCAAGCTGACAACGTCTCGATTTACTTGACCGTATTCTGGTACCCAGGCTGTCAAGTGGAGGGGTTATGTGGGCCGCGACAAACTCATCCCACTTTTAGATTTCGGGGGGCTGAATATCCATGATCATCACCTCATTGGCCTGGTGCCATCTTCGAGTGGCCACATATCCTATTCTTGATCCCAAAGGCGTTGTGGAACTAGACTGAAGACAGGTTGACGAGTCAATATTCACGGGGATGTTGGAGCCTTGGTCTGGGGAATACAATTGGGACCTCCGGATTCCCAGTGGAGTCCGTCGCTGTTCACGCATACTCCCTGTGTGCTGGACTCCAATCGGAGAAAGCAACATCCACAGTCCAAGGATAATCGAGGGCTTCCCACACAACAGTATTCACAGCTTGAACAAAACGACCTCTGCACACTTTCCTCCAGCTTCTGCAAACACCTGCGTGCCCTCCAGATTGAGCAGGTTAACCCGAAAATCATCAAGCATTGTCTTACAAAAAGGGCCGGTGCATCGGCGAAAGGGGATGTTGTTGTTACTGGATGTTGAGCCTCACTGATCTTATCCCTGAGGTTGCTACACGCATCAACTGCATGGTTCCCCTCACCTGAGACTGCAAAGGAACATTTGTTACGGCTGGTATTGCAGGGCGGTCGGGAGGAAGTGCAGGTCTGCAACATGCCTTTGGCGACTGTCCATCCGAGTGAGGCTGTTGAGTGGTGATTAGCTGTGTGACAAGTCGCAGGCTGCATGCATATGCTTGGTGACGTATCTTCTGAGATTCACCCTTTCTGTTCCCACATGATTCCATGATGAATGCCTCTGCAAGCGCAACCTTTGGCTCGAGTCACTTAGGTTTGTGAAATGCCAACAAAAGACTGTGAAACTCTGGCAATCTAGCATTCAGTAACAAACAATATTACCTATGGTATATCAGTGATAACAGAAGACTACAACAATGTCCTTTTTCGGGGTCAAGGTGACGCCAGGCTATGTTGAAATGGAAGCTTCGATGTGGTTATACTTCAAGCTGTCACAGTACCACTCACGAGTAGCTATAGGAAAACGAGGAACGGACATGGCTGTATCCTTTTTGCATCAAGCATCACAATCAGTGGAGTGCATAAGACATGATGCTTGTTCGCTTGGCGTCCTCGCGATTCCAATGACCATAGTGCTAGGCTTGTGTTGTGATTGCAACTGCGTTTCTCGTATAACTTTCTTCCAAGTGAAAAGTTTGACACAAGAAGATAGGGGAGCCTCTACGTGAAAGAGCTACCGGAAAGGTCTCTCAACATCCGTTCATCAGCTGTAATTAATGTATCCATCTACCTAGTCAACAATTCCGGCCAGCTTCCCAGATCATGGATTGATATTGATCCTAATATCGTATTACAGCTAATAACAACAAGATATATACCGAGTTTGTACGTACCAGTACTATTAGATGCTTCACTACCGTTGTACCTAGCTTCACTGAAATCCAAACTACCTGTTGGTGCTGATTAGGCGCACATATGAGACTGATAACAACGTCTAAAATAAACATCATTTATTCCAAAGAGCAACTGCTTTCTTCTCCTTGGAGAGAAACGCGACTGGTTTCCGTTTCCTACTCATAACCACTCTCTTTGTGTTTGTTTTCTTTCCTCCTCTCTTTTCTTCCACACTGGTCTGACCACTACCAGTTCTGTCACTCGGTATATCACGACTCGCTTTCCATCCACGTCTCCTGAATTTATTATAGCCGGTCATGGAAATTCTCTCCAGGTCGCACGATAGAGTTCAGCACCACGTCTCTTCAAGAGGTTTCTTACGGACTGACAAAGTGAATGTGAGTACCGCAATCTTGCGACAGGACGCTTCGGATCCCAACATCCTTCGGAAACGAAACTTCGATGAGAAGTACTGCCTGAACGTTTTCGAGACACCTAAGGGCAGGATGGACAGCACAGATTCTCATGTTCGCAACGCTGTTATACGTGAGACGGTGTTTGAAATACATTGACCACACCACACGACTTTGCCTGGGTAACCTGCCTGCATCTGCATCCTAAAACCATCTAACATAAGAAGCAACAAATCCAACCTGGGCCAAGACAATTTTTACTGGATGGCGTGATAACGGCCATAAGAAGCATATCGGAATTTTGGCACTAGATTGTTATCAGTCGCGTTCCTCCGGCGCAGATTTGCAATAACACCAGGGGTGTAGGTCACACGTGTGGAGTGCTCGAGGGTTCAAAAGGCATGAAAGTTTCGGGAGTTCCACCATCTCAAACACCTGAGGTAACAAAACAATTGATCTCACCCACCTGATTGAGTCAGTACGGTATTACGTGGTGGAAACATCATTCATACGTGTTTTACGATTGTTGTAAAAACGCTACTACCAGCTAGAAGCATCAATCATAACAGCATCGTCACCGTATGTAAACAGTACGACCGTTGCCGGTGCTGGAAGACCACCAACATGCCATGGAGATGCGATCAAGCGTCTCTTTAAGATGTCCTGAAGGGAAGCATGATAGTGAGATTCGCGATCATTGCCTGACCATCCTGTGGGCAGTGTGGTCTTTCGAGCTGTTCTGGCTCTGGGCATCCCAGTCACTAAAACTTACATCTGGGAGATCTGAGACCTTTGCGCGATAGGCATGTTGGTTTGCAAAGCAATTCAAGAATGGTTAAAGCATAAAGAACGGTTCAGATCAGGCGAGTCTCGTGGCGTCGCCATCTCTATTCGCGTATTAACTTCCGGAAGTATTGCCGAATTTTTAAAATTAGGTCAATTGCCAACACGAGCGTTGGTCTCTTGTGACTCGGCGACTGGCTCAAATCGGCGACTCAGTACGTTTTCTTGAACAGGAATCGGAGTTCAAAACTTCCGATTATACTACACCAATCTGATTGCATAGACTAGTTTTTCTATCAAGCTAATCCCCGCAGTCCGGTCATTGTCGTCAAGCAGGTTCGTTGGGTAACTTATGCGTTCAGCTAATGCAAACTATATTTTCTCTGCTATTCCATAATCTAAAATGATTCGAGTCCATTGTCACGTCGTGACTAGGTATAAATTCGAGCAGTAGCGAGGTCGAAGCTTGACCAGTAGAGTTCTGCAAGATGCGCAGAAGCTAATGGTTCGCAATCTGATCAAAGAGGCAGATATTGTTCTTATGTCACAGCTGGTATAAAGTGTTAATTTCTGCCTGCAATTAACGGCGTCGTTTTTGCGACATCTTATCCCTGGCCTTCGATGCATCATATAAGCTCGAAACCGTCTTCTTGAGAATTGAATGATAAAAATGGGTTTCGGGGTTTCGCAATTTTGGCCTTGGGACTTCAGACTTTGCCGGTCTTTACAATCCAGGGAAGGCATGTTTACCCTTCTCCTTGAAAATACTTCCCTTCTGCATAGGCCAAGGTTTGGGGACTTAGCTTCAAATACCTAGGAGCGTGATCAAGTCCAATCAAGCCCCTCTACTAGCTTTTCAGTACCTAAATAGACTTTCTTGCCTAGGAAGGACCATGCTTTCCGAAAGCATAAACCAGCTCCGACGGTGTATTCCCGGCCTTACATTAGGCTCACTAATCCTGTAAAGAATCTGTAGTCGTAGGCCACTGGGGATTTTATCACGACACGCCAGACTTCTTCGAGAAATTGCTTCGATGATCATATGTCTGTCGTGGAAAGCAATCGATTTTGTCTCGCCCGAGTTGCTCGGAGACCATCGACCACCAATTACGCCAACTTGCCTACACTGCCCGTTTAATCGATACGATGTCTGACCAGGGGTGGGCGGCGAAGCCGCCCGACAACGTAGTGCCCAATCTGCAACACCCCGAGGATGTTCTGCATAGCGTCAATCTCGTTTCGCAGATTCTAGCAATTGCTTTGACCAGTTTGTTCGTGGTCCTGCGTTTCTACACAAAGACCTTTGTCGCGCCTCCGTTTTACACAGATGACTGTAAGTCCAACCTGCCTCTTGGTGTTCGTCAATCAATTTCTAATTTCATCTACTTAGGGATGGCATTAATTGCATGGGTAAGAAAACCGACGACTCAGAGTGGATTTCAGTTGTTGTACGAATACCAACACAAAAGCAGATCATGTCCTTGGGGTACGACGCCACAGCAGTTGTCAGTGAGTAACGATGGCCAGTATAAGTTCAATGCTGCATCCCTGCTAACGACTCTTGTTCAAGTGGGCCATTTTGGTGGCGGTTTCCATGTCTATGAAATCTCAAAGGAAAGTTTGAAAGGCTTCAAAAAGGTAGGTAATTCACCTTTTGTCTATTCCAACAAAGTCCAGGGTTAACTAACGTCTTTTCTGGGGGTTTATGCTATTACCCTCGTCTATGGTCCTTCGTCCTATTTCACGAAGCTCACTCTCCTCTGGATCAACATTAGAGTCTTCAGGTTACACAGGAAAACAACAATCGGCACATACGCTATAATTACCTTCTTAAGTTGTTATACCATCCCTGTTCTCTTCCTTAAGGCGTTCATATGCCGACCGGTTGCTGGCTTCTGGGACACAGCAATCAAGACGACCTGCTACAACCAACGCGCGATTCTTGTAGCTGACACAGCTGTCAGCGCCGTCACCGACATGGCCGTTCTATGCTTACCCATACCTGTTGCCGTGACACTCCGAATGTCTTGGAATAAGCGGCTCAAAGTTATCGCCATGCTTAGCTCCGGAGGTGTCGCTACGGCGGCAAGCATTATAAGAATGATTCTTGTTATCAAGCTACAGAGCTCGCATGATGAGCCAATAGACCTCATCCGCTTCAATCTCCTTGGGTAGGCCTATTCTAGCACCTTCCTTGCGTCTTGTTAATTTCGTTGCAGAGACTGACTGCACGGTTAGAACAGCAGAAGTGAGCATAGGTCTGATGTGTGCGTGCCTTCCTGCCATCAATATCCTCGTTATGCATAGCTTCTATTCCTCCACAGATTCAAGTCAAGACACTGTTGGAAGCAGCAATGCTATTGTACTCAAATTTCTGGGAGGCAGTAAGCTCAAGACTCAGCGGATTACGACAGAAATAGCGCCGGTAGTCGCGACTCGAGATCCGCCTCGGACTTCAACTCAAGAGGAGAGGGAGAACCGTATAATACCTTTCGAACGGGCCAGTCGGTCTCTTTAATATTGTAAAAGACGTGGGCGCAGAATGTCGCAGGATGAGAATCGTTCAAAGAGTCTGTCTCACCGTCTGCAAAAACCGATGCTCCAGGCTGGGGTCGAAAAGCGGTTGGATCATGATTATAGATTACACAGCTGTGATATAAAGTTGATAGCTTAAAACGGTTGAGTTCAATTACTTTCTCTTTGCATTAAAAATGAAAACTTGATGGAATCTTAAGGCCTTTGTTCGCCATCAGTTGGAATACTAGAGCAATGAGAGTGAATCGTGTCACAGACTGGATAGGCAATAGGGAACGTTATGTATGCTTAAAACAAAGGAGAAATGTATAATGAGATCTAGACACATTCTAAGGGTATTTGGTCATAATGAATCATACTTCGAGACATCATAGGCAAACAAAACCATACTACGTTAAACTTTATCACACGCAAACCCGCCGACAGCGATGCACTCCTTAAAGCTACTCGTCATCACTCTCAGAGCTGGACTCATCCTCATCATCGTCATCATCTAGACAGTGTTAGCAAATAAAGGGTCACAGGTATAACTAAAAGGTTTTGAGTGGAGAACCTACCATCGGCCGGGGTCTTGTTTTCAACAACACCATTGATCCTAACACGGACCTGCTTGTAGTGGACGGGATTGCTCTTCAAGTCCTCGCCATCAACAGCAGCTCCGCCATCCTGCACGTATTCCTTCAAGTCCGCGAAGAGCTCCTCGCCAAAAGCACCTGATTTCTTGGCTCTGGTGATGAGCTGGCCAACAACGCTGGAAGCCATCTTGGCAGGGGTGTTGAGGATCTTCTCAATCACCTCGCGGTGACCGAAGCCGCATTTGGCGTGAGGGTCCTCGACTGGTGCGCCCTCGGGCATGCTATCCCTGAAGCGCAAACCAGGGGTCTGGTAGCGACGAATGCGAACGTCACTGTACGCTCTAGCGAGATCGACAGCGCTGACCTTAATCTTAGCGGGCTCAGGAGGGGGCCAAAGCTTGGACTTGGTCAGACCCATAATAGCAGATCCGAGGAGAAGCTGCTCGCAATCCTCAGCGGTTCCGTCGTCGGTACCGGCATGGCAGTAACGGATCTCTTCGCCAGGGTAGCAGGAAGGGTTGAGAAGACGATGAACAGGGTTGCTGACAGCCTTGATGACCTTCTCGACGGCCTCGGCACGTGTAGCGGCCAACATGCTGATGACCTCATCCGAGATGGGCTGCTCTTTCCAGGGGTGGCCCTTGGAGTCAAGAAGGGTGCCATCGGTGCCGACGCGCGACTTGTACGCCGCCTTAGCCAGCACGCGGCTGAACCAACGAGCCTCACCAAAGACCCAGCTAAGAACAAGGGTCTTGTCCTCGTCGTTGCGGGCACCGGCCATGAGAACGTGGCGGTTCAAGGCTACGACCCAGTCCTTCATGAATGGGACCAGCAGATGAGTGGCGGCGTACTTGTCAGAAGCCAGGGCAAGGTCGTAAAGCTCGCCGACATTGGGCATGGTTGGGAGCTCGTGGAACTTGAAGTGGGCGATGGAGAAGAGCACATCGAGACCGCTAACGGTGTCGGCAGCAGATTGTAGCTCAACAACGGTGGCGGTGTTCTTAGCGAGGAAATCCTTCCAGACGCGAGATGCAGAAGCGAGGGCGGCAGAGCGGACAGAGTAGACAATGACGGTACCGTTTGAGTCGCGGACCTTAATGTGAAGGTCGGCATCCTCGTGGTATGAAATCTTCTTGTCGGCCTCGGGGGACGCAGGGCGCGGAGGCAAGACTGCGACGAGGGTTGCAAGCTGTGCTCCCTGAGGCTCTCGAGCCTGGGTCTCGTTCTTCTTATCGTCTTCGTCCTCGGAAGAATAGTCATCAGCCTCATCCTCAGCTGTCTGGGTAGTCTCCGCCACGGATATAGCCTTAGTCTGAGCGGCTTCGGCTCCGTCCGTAACAGGTGCCCCAGGAGCGGTGGCCCTATCCTTCTCCTCGAGGACGGATGCAACAGCAGGCTCCTTGTTGTCAAGGAAGCTCTTTTCCCTACCGGGCATTGCGGTCATGGGTCGTGGTGTCTCGGCATCACCGTTGTTGGATTGAACCAGAGAAGGGATGCTGCGGGCCGAATCGGAACGCTTCATGAAGTAGCCGTCCTTCACGGGCCCAAAAGTGGGAGTAGGAGGGGTAGATGTGGCATTTTCGTTGGTAGTCTTGGTAGTAGGGGCTCTATGACGACGTTAGTATTAGTCTTGTCCATGCTGGTACTGCAATCATAACAACTTGGGCCTGCTCAAGTTCATGGCGAACGAGCTGAGGCAATACTGCAGAGGCATGGGAAATGAGGGTCTAGCAAAGGAACGCTACCGAAGGGACGAGATTCGGGCAGGCACAGATGGTGGCCGTGGAGGTAGTATTCTTGTAGGGTGTCGCAAGATGGGTGCGATGAAGTGGCGCCCTCCTTGAGGGCCTTCCGTCATCGCATCCTCATTCAACCAGTAACGATACTGGCTGAAGAAGTCAGACGCGTTACCCTCGGGTGGTGTTGACGGACTACGAACACCCGTGTAAGAGAGGGACGATGATTGGAGACGGGCTTGGGTTGGGCTGGGTTGGGTTGGGTTTAGACGATGGTTAAGATCGTGTCAAAGACACGTCAAATATGCAAGCCGATGAACTCCAAGGCTTGAGGTTGTCGACCGTTGGACAGCTCGAGGGATATGCAAGTTTGGTGGGGATCGTCAAAGCCGCGGCGCACGCTATTGCATCCGGTCCTGGCGAAGCGGGTCCAGGATCCGGCATAAAACAAGGGGAAGCGACTCAAGCGATACATGCTACAGGGGGGATGCAGAGGGGACTGAAGAGCGGTGAAGAAAGACGTCGTGGCCAGGACAACTGAGAGAGAGAGAGAGAGAGAGAGAAAAGTAAACAAACAAAACATACCTCTTGAAACGGTTGTTGAGGAAAAGAAAACCGCTTCCAGATTTCCGACGGTCGGGGTCTTGACCAGAGGGCGTTCTCCGGTGAGACTCGAATATCGCAGGAGACATGGTGATTTTATTGGGTATCAATGGCCGTGATCTCGGAAAACAGAAACGAAACTCATAAACAAAGCGAAATCGTGACGCCAGAAAAAAAGCAACTGCTAGACGTGAAAGCAGTTATGCAGGGTCTCGGATACCAGGGCCAAATAGAGATGAAGAGACCAGAGAGAAAAGGCAGCTGCAAACCCAGGACTCGACGCTCATCTATATGTACTCGTCGGCTCAGCCCGAGATACGGTGGTAGTGGTATCCACCACGGCCCAAATGGCAAATCATGTTAATAAATACTGCCATCCGTAAACTGTCGAGGCCAACGTCCAGGAGTCGCCGAGGACACGGCCCACCAAAGTGGCTGGCCAACTGAACCCGAACCAAGATTAAACGAAATGGAAGGTCGAACATTGGGCACCAAAGTCGCATAAACAATCACCGCCTTGCCTGTCCTTCACCGCTGGCATAACTTCGCCGCCGACGCGTCCAGGGCTCCTTGGAAAATTGGAAGATTTCTCGAGAACCCTTACCGGATTTGACACCCCCGGGAGTTCGGGACGCCTGCAGATTTCTTCTCGAGATCCACCCGGTGACATTTTAGCGCAGTTCGCGTTGGATATCGGCCGTTCATCTGCACCATCTGCACCATATGCCAGCAGGGGGATGCAGTCACATTTGGCGATCGCCTCCACCGCCGTATGCATTCGCGCCTTGGCTGCATGAAACATTGACGGCGACCGTTTCTACCGCTCTTTGCCTGCGAGTGTCCTTGCAACAACGCCCGCAAAGCGCAGAGGTGATGCTGTAATTCAGTCTTGCCAACCTTTCGGTGCTGATCATGGATGAAGAGAGGGGAAAGGTCAAAGCAAGGCGCAAAAAGCCAGGGCCAATGGTTTATTGAGGTAGGGAGAGAATATACAAGGCGTCGGGAAATCGCCCGAGACCATATGGCCTCATCAGATGGCCGTTGTTGAGGGATTCATGTGGTGATGTTACGAACTTGGAGGCTCTGCGAGAGGGTCTGCAGTAGTGAACGAACCCAACCTCCTGCAGCAGGTCGTCTAGATATTGATTGGACGGATCGGAGTGCATCTAGATGCAGTTAGAGATACTGCATGCGCGCCGAGTTGTCAGACGGGTTTTCGGCTTCTTCAGACGCGGGATGCGTGCATATCTCGGCTGAATGGATCCCAGGCATTTCACAACAAAGCACGGTCCATGTTGACTTGTATATTTTGTTCAAAATGTGACATAACATTGTGCAAGATCATTGATCTGTTCATACAGCGTAGCTGACCGCCGACCCAAAACTCCTAGTAATGCCTCGAAATCCACTCATAGTGTCGTAGAGTCACCACTTAGGGTGGAAAAGACATAAGGAAAACGGCTTAGATTTCTACGTGCAGGATTACCTTGTCCAAAACGAATAAATACGTATCCTGCGTGGTGGATCTGCACAAAGGGACCGGACTAATAGTTAATCCAGGCTTAGCACAAATCTCACAAGGCTGCGCGATGCGCGTGAAGGTATTGCGACACACCCCCCTAGGCGGATCAATAGATTTTAACTGTTATACGTCTAATAATAGCTATATATAAAAGAATTGCTTTAAAAGACTAAGAATTAAGAAGTAAAATTCTTATAATTCTTATATATAAATCTCTTTATAACTCTATAACTAAAAGTCCTATAAATATATAGTTATTTTTTCTAGATTCTTCTTGAAAAATAACCTATAAAAGTATATATTACTATATATAACTATACTAATACAAACTACTACAAACTAATGTAGTCTACTACATATAAACGCATATACTTCTAAGCATTATATATGCTAGCGCTTATACTTATCTATAGGTATATATAAGTATATATATATATATACAAAAAACTATAAGTACCTCTTAGTACTTAGATATACGCTTAGATATACACTTAGATACTATACGTATCTAAAGGACTTTCTATATAACTAAGAGATATCCTTTCTACTTAAACAGTTTTATATAACAAAAAAAGATATAATAAAACCTTAACAGTTAATATATATATACCTTTTCTGTCTACCTTTATTCTTCTTTACTTTTCCTTATAACTATTTATAAATAACCTTTTATTATTCTTACTAGTTATAAGCCTAGCTCAATAGAGAAAACAACTCTTATACCTTTTTATCTTCCTTTATACTTATACCTTTATTTTATACAACAAAAAATTCAACCTTGCTAGGGGACGTACCACATTAGCTAAGGGAATTTTAAGGAATATAGCTCTAAGGCAGCTACACCTCACACCCAGCAGTCCATATTCAGCAGAATAGAAGGACCGGCTTACTGGGCAAGCACTACACCTATCGCTATATTTTATGCCACTACAGCTCCAGGCCAATCATAATTCAATCCTACCTTACCGGTTGAAGGTTATTTCTAGTCTATATCCAACAAAGACTATATACCTCAAGCTGGAATTAAACCCAAGAGCTCTAATTAAGTTACCAATTCAATTAGTTAATCTAGAGGATAGCTAAACCACTAGACTAACTGCTCTGCCGTCTAGTGAAAGCTTCTTTAATTAAAGGCCTATATATATCTATAACCTAAGGCAACCACGCAACACTATACTATTAATAATAACTTAACCACTTTTAAGGCCTATTTTTCAAGACGAATTCAACAGTACTATCAGAATACCAATATCTCTTACTAATTAGCTAAAATCAACTAAAATCCTTATATTCTGATTGAATTTGAACTAAATTAATACTATAAAAAAAATCTATATACTATGCCTTTTTAGTAGCCTTAACTATAATATTTAGGTAACTAGATTTAAGGCTTTACTTATTAGTAAAGATATTAACTTTAGTCTTATAACCCCTTTAACTATACCTTCTTAATAAAAGAGTAATATAAAAGTATTAGCTTTTATAAAGCTATTTTATAAGAATTTCCTTTTAAGGGTTATAAAAGACTCTATAATAGGATATAAAGCCTAGAAGAAACTAAAAGATCTATATAAACCTACTAGTTTTACTAATAAATATTTTACTTATAAAGAGTTCTTTAATACCTCTTTAGAATCCTTTAGATCTATAGAAGAATACCTTAATAAAGTAAAAGAGCTTATAAATAACTTATCTTCTAAAGATATAGCTTTACTAAAATAAGTTATTATAGTTTAGGTATTAAATAGTTTAGATAATAGTTATAAAGGTTTTATAACTAATATAACCTAAGCCCTTAAAAAGGATATAAATTCCTATACTATAGAATCCCTTTTTATAAATCTTATAGATAAAGCAAAAAGAAAAGATTCTTTTATAGTATTATATACTACTTTTACTTTTAAAAAAGAAATTAAAAAGCCTTAGAAAAAGACAAAGAGTATTTACTATATATACTATAAGTTAAAAAACTATATGGTTAAAGACTACAACTTCCTATATCCTATTAAGGCCCCTAAAAGCTAGAAAAATAAGGATAATACTAAGAAAGAGGTCCTAAGGCAACAAAGGACTAATATAAAGAGAAATAAGCTCTATAGGGCCTAAAAGGCCTTAATAGCTAAAAAGGCTATAATAGAAAAAGAAGATTCTAAAGAATCAGATAAATTAGACACAGAAAATACGTATATTATAGTTATAGATAATATAGTTATAGATAACCCTTAACAAGAAGAAGAGAGTAAGATAAACTTAGGTTTTAAAGATGTAAGTTATATAACCTCCTTTATAATAACTATAACTAATAATAAGATAAGTAATATAAATAAACCTATATATATAACTAGGAATAATAAATATACTACGTTCTACTTAGATACTACTACTACTATTAATATTATAAGTAATAAATCCTTATTTATAAAGACTACTTATATAAACAGGTATATTAACTAAAGAGATATAAAAAGAAAAAAAATCTCTCTACAAAAAGATATAGTAATTTCTTTTTCTAATAATAATAATATATATATCCTTAAAGACTATTATTATATGCTTAAAATAGGTATTAATCTTCTAAGTTAAAATAGACTAAGAAGACTTAAGATAACCTTTTTTTTCTAGAATACAAAAGTATCTTTAATAAATATAAATAATAAAAGAACCCTTTATAAAAGGAAAATAAAAGATAATTTATATTACCTAAATATAAAGGTTCTAAATAAAAAAGATCTTAATAACTATAAAGAATATATAAATACTATAAATATAAGAAGAAAACCTTATAAATATAAGAAAATTATATATAATAAAAAGATTAATAACTATAAAAAGTAGTATAATAGACTAGGACATATAAATAGAAAAGTCTTAATATAACTTAAAGATAATATAAATATAACTAATAATATAATAAAAGAAGACTATACTTATAATACCTATATAAAAGTAAACTTTACTACTAAAGTTAATAAGTATTCTAATAACTATAATAAGGTTTATAAATATATAGAAAAAGTCTCTTTTGATCTTTATAGACCTATAATACCTTTTACTAATAATAAATATTAATAGTTTATTATCTTTTTAGAAAAAAAGTCTAGACTTATATTTATAAAACTACTTATGTTACCCCTCTGGTAAGGCAAGTCCTTTAAAGGAGCGGTCAGATCTATTGTATAGTCTGACAGACCTTATGGTTAATGTAGTGAACCTGCTTTACCAAAGATAGGATCTAGAAGATAAAGGTGAAAGAAGTTAATTCCCTTAATGACCCTGTAGGAGGTCTACCTTATATAGTAGTAGACCTCCTGTGTTTATTAGTAGGGGTAATATATGCTCTCTTTGCCTTAAGATATTACTGTGCTAGTAATATCTTACAGGGTTATTATCTATATAGTTTAGCTAAAATATTACTATTTTTACTTTTTTCTTTACTAATTCTATTAATAAATCTGTTTTTATTTTCTATTTATTACTATAGCCTTAATATTATAAATTTTAATAAAGATTATAAGTTTTAGACCTTACTTAGTGTTAGCTCTCCTATGTAATCCGCTATGTTTCCTG